AACTAAGGCTGTACAAATAGGGATATCTGACCCAGAAGCAAGACGTATAATGATTGAGTTTTTGGCTTATGAAAATGCAAATGTGGAATGCAAAAGGATTTTGGGTCCTTTAAAGCTCAGATCAGCGCCCTTGGAAGAATGGGTCTTGCATACACTCAATGTTGATACATTTGATTATGGCACTGAAGCATGGGTAGAAGAAGCAATTTCCAATGGTAAAAGGAGACACCAGAATACCAAATGTTTTAATTGTGGCAAAATGGGTCATATGAAAAGGAATTGTAGACAACAGATTTTCAGAAATAATAATAATAATAATAATAATAATAATAATAATGCATCTTTCAGAAATAATAATAATAATAATGCAGGCCCCCATGGCAAACATGGTTCAGTCATTTTCAGTTTCTGCAGAGAATGTGCCTCATCAGGACAATTAGGAAGCCCCATGCCTACTGTTACAAGCAATAATGATCAGAAAGATAAGTTACGTGTGTTTTGGCAAACTTCTATAAATGATCAAAGACCTAAACTGAGAGTGTGTGTAAATGGCATTTTTATTACTGGCCTGCTGGACACAGGTGCTGATGTAAGTATCATTACCCCAGAATCTTGGCATCCGTATTGGCCTCTTCAGAATGTAAATGTTCAGCTCCTGGGAATTGGAACCCTATCTCGAGTAAGGCAGAGCATGAGATGGGTTGAATGTATAGGGCCAGAGGGACAAATAGGAAAATTAAAGCCATATGTAGCCAATATTGCAATGAATTTATGGGGTCGTGACCTATTACAACAATGGAATACTGAAATCAACATTTCTGCTACTTCTAGAGCCTATATTTCTGAGAATAATATTAAAAGATATTACAAACGGAGAAAACCAGCCATTCTGGCTGTACAAGAACAAGCAATTGATGTCCCTTCAGAGATACCAACAACCTTGCCTCTAAAATGGTTGACTGAGAAACCAATATGGACAAAGCAATGGCCTTTAGCTGAGGAAAAGTTACAGGCTTTAGAACAGCTGGTACAAGAACAATTAGATGCTGGACAGATAGAAGAATCTACCAGCCCTTGGAATTCTCCTGTATTTGTGGTTAAGAAAAAATCAGGTAAATGGAGAATGGTGACAGATCTCAGGGCCATCAACAAGGTTATTCAACCTATGGGCCCTCTGCAATCTGGAATTCCTTTGCCCTCTTTATTACCAAAAGGATGGCCTCTCATAGTTATTGATTTAAAGGATTGTTTTTTCACTATACCTTTGCAAAAGGAAGATAGAGAAAAATTTGCCTTCACAGTGCCTACTTATAACAATTCTCAACCTTCGAGGAGGTACCACTGGACCGTTCTCCCCCAGGGTATGTTAAATAGCCCCTCCCTGTGCCAATATTTTGTGAACCAACCATTGCAAATAATACACAAGAATTTTCCCAAATCTATAGTATACCATTACATGGACGACATATTGTTATCTGATTCAAACATGGATACCTTGAACAGACTGTTTGAAGAAATAAAGATACTTTTACCTAAATGGGGATTGCAAATCACTCCTGAAAAGATTCAGAAGGGAGATTCTGTTAATTATTTAGGTTATAAAATAGGTTTGCAAAAAATTAAGACACAAAAAGCACAAATTAGGAGAAATCGCCTACGGACTCTTAATGACTTCCAAAGACTGTTAGGAGACATTTCCAGTCTACGACCAGCTATTGGAATAACAGCTGATCTAATAATTCATTTGAACAAAACCTTGGATGGTGATAAAGATTTAAACAGTCCCAGAGAATTAACAGCTGAAGCAGAAAAGGAACTGACAATGATTGAGGAGAAATTACAACAGGCACATGTGGACAGGGTGAATCCAGAGCTCGACTGTATTCTTGTCATACTACCATCAAAAATTTCTCCTACAGGAATTTTAATGCAGAGAGATGATATTATTTTGGAATGGATCAGTCCCTCTCCAATTCCAAGCCTGTTAGTAAGAGGAAAACCCAGAGTTTCTGGAGTTTCTGTCTCATGTCAAGAGCCATGATATGGGACAGAAAGAAATATGAGTTTAGAAAACATCTTTGCTTTTCTTCATATTTATCATACTTTTCATTGAATATATCTATCATGCCTTTCATTGAATATATATATATGTATGTCTATATGATTAATGTTTAAGTTTTTCATAATGAACAATGAGTTTTTCCTGAAGTGACATTTGAAGTTTCCAGGAAGAAGATGGGGCCCCACAACAACAACTCTACCTGGTTGATATGACATCATGATTCTGATAACGCTACTACAAGACCTGTTTTGGATACCAGCTGCACAAGACGATCCCAACTTGGTTAGCTGAAATGGTGCACATCTTGTACAACATTCTGGCCAGACCTCCAAAAAATACTCAGAGACTATTTGCAATTTTAAAAGACATTGATCTTGAAATTTAACCATCATTTTACTTTCACAGGATCCCCAGAAAGAATGTCGCCCCCATGACAGCTGGAAGTAATTCTAGAGGATGACGTCCCCTCTCCCAGTAAAATTTACCCCTGGGTTTAGGGACATCATTTAGGGGTTGGGAGGTTGGGGGAGGAATTTTATAAGCTCAGTATCATTTTGAAAAAAAAAAAGAAAAAAAAGAGGAAATGATGGGATAATAGATTTATAATTGTGAGTTACTGCTTTTAGACAAATATATTGGTATAGATTCTTGTATATTGATACAAAGTTAAATTATATTGACTATTGTATGCATGCATGTTTCTATCTCTGTTTAAAACATTTTTTATGTATTGACATATATTGTATTGATAAATATATATTGTATATATTTACCATATTGCAGTGTACATTTCTACCTCTGATTATGATACTTATATAGTGTTTGTGTATTGATATATATTTACCATATTGCAATGTATATTTGTACAGTGTTTATATTTGGAGGTCATTATCCTCATTTGTTACAGAGTTGTTTATTGTCTTAGTCTTTAAGTTAGATAGATATTGAGAATTAAATAGATAAATAGTTATCTAAGTTTGTCATTTATAATTAGACTAATCAGGTTCTTTAGATATATAGAGATTATACTCAGTATAGATAGATAATCTTCGACCTCTTCAAAGAGCTGTAGAAAATGGCCTTTAGTCTAACTCAGAGTTTCGTGATAGTGAGACACAATTGCTCCTGGCAACACCGCTCTATTCCCGAGAGAATGTTGAGCACCAAAGACACTCCATCTGGAGCCCTTCTATTTGGCAGAACTGGCCTTTGGACAAAGAAATGCCCAAACCTCAACCACTGACACAGATACAGAGCGTGCATCAATGGATAAAACAGGACTGTCATATCCTGCCAAGACAGGGTAAGATAGTTTTGAAAAGTTCCTTGCCTTTAATAATGGTATGTCAGTTATGTTAGGCCTTAGCCAAAATTGGTTGACTCAACGTTGCAAACGAGACTTTGGGTGATTGCCCAGGTAGTCAGTTGTCTCTGTCAATTGTTGCACATTTTCGATATTTCTCGTTTGTTGAGTAGTGTTTATTCCCTTCTCAGATCTTTGACGGAGTTGAAGATTATATAATTGTAGTTACTCTCTACATTATTTGGATTCCTTGAGATAGAATGTTTAGCAAAGCTTTTGTTCTCAATATTGTTTGTTATATTTATTATTTGTTGTTATTGTATATAGTTGTATTTGGTTTGGTTCTGTCTTATTTAGACAAAAAGGGGAGATGTAGGGATAAGTCCCGCCCCTTGGGGGGCGTGTTCGCCTCGGGCTAATGTCTGCCTATAAATTTGGCGAGCGTGCTCCCAGCCACCGCTTCTGCTTTCCTGGTCTCCGCGGGAACGGTGGTTCTGTAAGTCTATTTCTACATTAAAGCTATAGATATATATTTTTTTACACTCTGTCTGCATTTGTTTACGTCGTTACACTTCAGGTGACACTGTTCGCAACACCAACCTCAACCTGCTGTCAGGGAATACGCCTGTCAGAGAAATTACCGATATTCCTTTTTGCTCCGAGTACACGATGCACTTCGGAAAAATCTCCCAAACGAAACCCGGAAGAAAGGCACTTCCGCCAGACACGGGGAGGGTGGGCTACAATGAGATACCGAACCGGAACAGGAGGAAGATGGCCGGAAGCGCCGGGGAACTACAGTTCCCATAAGCCCGCGGGGCAAGGTGAGGGGCAGGCATCGAGACAGGGCGGACAGGCCTTGCCAGTCATTTGGCTATATCAAGGTAAATGCCGACCCGCGGCTCCAAGGGAAGAGTTGACCTTATGGTTCGCAACTAGTTTGTACGAGTAACCCTCCCAACCCACCCTAAACCGACGAAAATGACGCGTCCAAGAGGGCGTCCTTGAGATTTCCGGGCACAGCACCCCACGTCCCTGCGAGCTTTCCCAGTGCCGACAACGCGGGTACTGAGCTCCCACGCGCGCTTCTTCTCCAGCCCTAGCCTCCGGCAGGGCAGGAAGTGGGCGTGAGGAGTGGGTGGCAGAGGACCTGAGTAGCAGGCGACCGCCGCTCATCTTTGCTCGCTCCCCGGCCACCCTTCGGTGGAAACCGTCGCAGTCTTGTGGGCCAAGGCTAAGCACCTCCATCCTTGTTAATCCCCCTTTCTGCCCTTCAGTGTGGTGTAAATCCGCCGGGGAGGCCGAGCGACTTCCCCTAGGTCACAGAGATTTAAGTAGCAAAAAGGAAGTTTTGAAGCGAACTTTGTTGTGACTCAGTACCCTCCAGAGTTTAACCCGAGCCTTGAGGACCGCGGACTTTTTTTATTTTTTTTAATAAACACTAGCGGTATCCAGGGGGCACCTTTGGGACCCGGCGTAGAACCCTAGCGCGTCATCAGCATCGGGCCTCCCAGCCGGAACATAAACAAGCACAGGGCCCTCCGCAGACCGACCCCGCCAGCGCCTGGCCTCTCCTCCGAGCACCTCCAGTCCGCGTCACCGCGGCTGCGGAGCGGGTGGGTGGGGTTTATTGCTTCTCGGCGGCGGCGGCTAGTGGGTCCTCCGGTGACTCCGGGGCGGGGCTGCGGGGAGGGTACCCCCCGACTGAACGACTTCTCCGGAATGGGGGGTGTGGCTGGTCGGCCCGCAGCATCCGGGTGGGAGAAAGGGTCCGCTGTTTCTGGCGGCGCAACCCCCAAGGCCTGCTGCTAGAGATGCTCTTCCTCTCGGTGAGTTGTTTTGCTGTTTTTGTTGGCTGGGATGTTCTCTTAGTCACGCCCCACGAAGGGGGAAGGAACAGTCCACCTTGGTCGGTGTGGCCTTGATTGGTCTGGGCAAAGGGGACTTGACCAGCTAGCTGCCCTCCCCGGCCTCCTGACTTCGGGCTATCTTAATCCGCGGCTGCGCTCGGCGTTCAGTTTCATGCAGGCTCTTGGGAAAGCTGGTGCTGCTGCTGCTGTCTGATTCCCGCGGACAGACCTTGGGACCGGGGCCGGTGCTGGCAGCTGGAGATGGCGGACACAAGATCGGTGTATGAAACCAGGTTTGAGGCGGCCGTGAAGGTGATCCAGAGTTTGCCGAAAAATGGTAAGTGCACTTGGCTTCCCCTTAAAACCTCTCAGCTGGTTTTCGTTTCCTTTATTTAGCGCCCCCTCCCATTCAGCCATTAAAAGGCATGTGACTGAAAGGATGGTATTGAATGTGAGTTAATTACCCCCATCTTTGAGGCCAAAGGTGAATGTACTATTTAAGCAGTGTATGTCGTTGAAAAGAAGTCTTCTCACTAATAACTGTGGATTTGGGTATGTTTAAAACATATGGGGTGAGATGTCTAGTGCTACATCGCTCAAAAGTGTGTAATCCAAACCTTTAGAAACTTTTGATATGAAACATGAGGAAAGAACAAATATATTCACCTGTAAAATGATTATTTTGACTGTGATGTGCCTAGATACGGGTTTCTTCGTATGTGTCCTGTTAACAATTTGCAAAAGTTTTTGTAATTTTCTCTGACTAGTTAGTGTTAAGGAATACTTTCCATCACTAAGTTTTATTTTTCTTTCTATTCTAAGAGAAGCTTCAGAAGGGAGACTTTCACCTTTTACATTCATATCCATTTGCATTATAATTTATATTTTATAATAAGTTAAAAATTATCTTAAGCATTATTATGTGTGCTAGATTTGTAAGCCAAGACAAACATAGCATTCCTATGTTACTATAGTATTTCATATTTTCTCCCATTTCATTTATCATCTTTTGGCCAAGTAATGAAAGTCAGCATAGTTCATTTCAATAAAAACTCTTCAAGTACACTTCTGAAAGCTTGTAGGGCATGCGTTACTATGTACAAAGCCCCGTTCAGGTCATGCACACCTCCAAAACAGTGGCACAGGTTGTAATTCCGGCTTCTTTGGAGGATCAAGAGGGCTGGAGTACTTGCTCAGTTGTGGAGTACTTGCCTAGTGTGTACAAGGTCTAGGCTCGGTGTTTTTTTTCTTAAAGTTTACTTATTTATTATGTTTACATTGTTCTGTATGACTGTTGCTTGCACGCCAGAGGAAGGCATCAGATCTCATTATAGATGGTTATGAGCTGCCATGTGGTTGCTGGGAATTGAACTCAGGACCTCTAGAAAGAGCAATCAGTGCTCTTAACCTCTGAGCCATCTCTCCAGCCCAACTCAGTAGTGTTTTATTGTAAACCTTTAACATTGTATTGGAGGAGAATACATGGAAAACTAAAGGATACGTACAAATAAGCTAAATGAAGGAAGGCAATAATAAGCCCAGTGTGGTGGCACACACCTTTAATCTTGGCACACCAGAGGCAAAGTCAGGTGGATCTCTGAGTTTGAGGCCAGTCTGATCTGCATAAGGAGACCCTATCAAAAAACAAAAAAAGGAAATAAGATAGGAATTCAATTAGATATCGATATTTTAAATGTTTAAATGTTCAATTAAGAAAATTTACTGGAAAGTATGATTTAAGGGTTTTATGTAAGTAATGTGTTCTTTTTTGGTATTTTGAGACAGGGTTTCTCTATGTAGCCCTGGCTGTCACAGAACTCACGCTGTAGACCAGGCTGGCCTCGAACTCACTGAGATTCTTCTGCCTCTGCTTCCCAAATGCTGGGATTAAAGGCATATACCACCATCACCCGGCATTAGATAATATTTCAAATACATATGTTACATATGTCCCAGGAGTGTTTTTAGGACAGAAGTAATGCTGCCGTATATGTAGTATATTCAGTGTATGTTTTCAGTTTTGTTTATATCTTTTATAATATGTACCTTTTACTTAAGCTAATAAACTTGTACATTTTGTTAGCTCACTGAAGAATGAGATAGTTGTTTAATTAAAATTTTTTATTACATTTATTTTGTGTGTGTGTGTGTTAGTGCACGTGTGGGGTCAGAGGACACTCCGGGAGTTAATTTCCTCTTTCCATGCTGTCTTGGTTACAGGTGCCTTAGATGTGCTCAGCTCTCACCACCCTTCCCCTTTTACTGGTTTTCAAATTTTACATTTACATTTGAGTTATTAACTCATTTTAACTGTGGTTTTTCTATTTTTATTCTTTGCTATATCAAGAATAACTATCTTGTTGAAATACCGTGCCTAAGAAATACTCCTAAATGTTCATATATTATATAGGTAGTTATTACTGTGATTTCGGAATTAATTATATACTCTTGGCCAAACCTGAACTACCAGTTTTCAATTTGTATATGTTGTAATTTCTAGTTAAAAAAATTCTATTAGCTTTTGATTACTTCATGTAATACTTGATATATAATCCATTATCTTTAAACTACCTTTATAATTATTGTTTTTATAACTATTTTCATTTTTAAAAGTAATGAGCAGTATGATGGAGAGATGGCTCAGCAGTTAAGAGCCTTGTTCCTCTTCTGGAGGACCTGAGTTTAGTTCCCAGCAAGCACAGCAGGAGGTTCACAAATTCCTGTCTTGTGATCTTACTGCAGAAACCCACACTCACTTTCAGATACCTACACAGACACACACACATAAAAACCAAAACAAACAAGACTGAGATTTATTTTTTTCTGTCAAATACTTTTTTATTTAAAAGTTTTTTTTTCATTTTACATACCAATCACAGCTCCCCCTCCCTCCCTCCCCTCATCCCATTCCCCCTACCTACTCTCCCACCTACTCCCCACCCAATCCTGCATCCACTCCTCAGAAAGGATATGGCCTCCCATGGGGAGTCAACAAAGTTTAGCGGGACCAAAGCACCTCCCCGCTGTATCAGAGGCTGAGCAAAGTATCCGTCTATAGGAAATGGGCTCCAAAAAGCTATGTCATACTCTAGGGATAAATCCTGGTCCCACTGCCAGCAGACCCCCAGACTGTCCAAGTCACAGAACAGTCACCCACATTCTGAGGACCGAGTTTGGTCCTATTCAGGTTCCCCAGCTATCAGTCCAGAGACAGCACTGAGTTTCTTTTAACAGGAAAAGGGAAAATGAAATAATAATCTGTATACATACCTACTATCCAGCAACATCCCCTTTTAACATTTTCATTCATATTGTGTTGTACTCCTTGGTAGGAGATAAATTGTTCCTCTGTAGACTGGGCTGGCCTGGAACTTACTATGTAACCCCTGGTTATCCTATTTTGGCCTTTGCCTGTAATCCTTTTGCCTCTCCTTCCCAAGGTATTCTCACTTGGTATACTGTACTATTTACACACACACGCACACACCATACCTCATTTAGGTCTTATTGTATCTGTGTTTTTTTTTTCTTTAATGTGCCTTTTGCTTATATGCCTCTGTGTACCTGTCTGGTGCCCATGGAGGCTAGAAGAGGGTATCAGAATTACAGATGGTTGTGAGTTGCCATATGGGTGTTGGGAATCGAACCAAGGGTCTTTGTAAGAGCAGCCAGTACTCTTGGTTGCTGAGCGATCTCTCCAGCCCCTGTTTATGGTCTTTTTCTTTTGTGAGTCAGGGTTTCTCTATGTAACAGCCTTGGTTGTCCTGAAACTCTATCTGTAGACCAGGCTGGCCTCCAACTCACATAGATCCACCTGCTTCTGCCTCCTGAGTGTTGGGATTAAAAGTATGAACCGCCATTGCATGGCTGTTTATGGCCTTTTACTTATTTATTTATTTATTTTGTTTTTTCGAGACAGTGTTTTTCAGTGTAGCTTTAGAGCCTGTCCTGGAACTAGCTCTTGTAGACCAGGCTGGCCTCGAACTCACAGATCTGCCTGCCTCTGCCCCCAAGTGCTGGGATTAAAGGCATGCGCCACCACCGCCTATCTGTTTATGGCCTTTAAAAGATGTTTTCTTCCTTTTCCCATTTAATAACAGGTCATGAAACTTCTTATGCCATTATTAATATTCCTTTGCAATACAGATTTTAACATTTATATGTATGGCTTTTACTGAATATTGTAACTTATAGTACTTATAATTTGAGGATTTTAAATATAAAAATGTTAAAATATTTGAAACATAAAAACAAATAGATTAAAATGAATAGTAACTCATTATGCAAAGTATAATTTTTTTTTTTTTTGGTTTTTCGAGACAGGGTTTCTCTGTGGTTTTGGAGCCTGTCCTGGAACTAGCTCTTGTAGACCAGGCTGGTCTTGAACTCACAGAGATCCGCCTGCCTCTGCCTCCCGAGTGCTGGGATTAAAGGCGTGCGCCACCACGGCCCAGCGCAAAGTATAATTTTAATAACCAAAGTAAGCATGTAACTTTTGAAGATAAGAATGGGATGAACAAGCTGGGCGGTGGTGGTGCACGCCTTTAATCCCAGCACTTGGGAGGCAGAGGCAGGTGGATCTCTGTGAGTTCGAGACCAGCCTGGTCTACAGAGCTAGTTCCAGGACAGGCTCCAAAACCACAGAGAAACCCTGTCTCGAAAAAAAAAAAAAAAAAGAATGGGATGAACAGTGGAGTTACATAGTAAATTCCAGGCCAGCCCAGTCTACAGGAAAACTGAGCAGCATAAGTGAAAAACTTGCATGTTTACCTTGGTTACTAAAATTTTATTTGTTGTCCAGATTTTAAGTTTCCACTAGATAAAGGACTTTGGGAGAGCCAGTTAGTGTGAACTTTGGTTAATAATAATAATAATAAATAACATTTTTCACTTCTACCTCTAATTTTGAACACAATTTTTTTGAAAACAGTTCTTCATATATTTCTTTTTAGTGTAATATTTGCTGGTTATGTCAGTTGCATTTATAAAATGGTTGCTAGCCGGGCGGTGGTGGCGCACGCCTTTAATCCCAGCACTCGGGAGGCAGAGGCAGGCGGATCTCTGTGAGTTCGAGACCAGCCTGGTCTACAAGAGCTAGTTCCAGGACAGGCTCCAAAGCTACAGAGAAACCCTGTCTCGAAAAACTACAAATAAAATAAAATAAAATAAAATAAAATGGTTGCTAATTTATTTATTGAACTGATGGAGTAAGGGGAAGGGGAGTGGGGAGAGGGGGCCATGTGTGCAAGGAGGGGGAGGGAAATGGGAAAATTTTTTTTTGCAACAACTAAAAAAAAAATAAACAACAACAACAAAAAGTTTAAACTTGCCAGGCATTGGTGGTGCACACCTTTAATCCCAGCACTTGGGAGGCTGAGGTACGCGGACTTAAGTTCGAGGCCAGCCTGGTCTACAGAGTGAGTTCCAGGACAGGCGCCAAAGGTACAGAGAAACCCTGTCTCGAAAAACCAAAAAAACCAACAAAACAAAACAACAACAAAAAACCCAACCAAACAAAAAATCAAAACAAAATATTAAACTTTAAGAACTTTCTGAAACCAAAGGAAAACAACTAATACCTGATGTTTTTCAGATTGAAATAAATTATCTGAATTATAAAGAGATGTAGTCCTGGTGTGATGGCTCCTGCCCTTAACACTCAGGAGTCTGGTTCAGAAAGATGTTGGAGTTTGAAGCCAGCTCGGCCTACATAGCAGTTCCAGGCAAGCCTGAGCTATAGTGTTAGACTCTATCTGAATAAATCAAACCAAACAAGAAAACCACTTCTAGTGTGGTATGGCTAAGCTAATACACAGCTTCATGTTATGAGTTACAGTCCCAAGTGATCTGTATTTAATGTTTGTTCCCCATAGGATCATTTCAGCCAACAAATGAAATGATGCTCAAGTTCTATAGCTTCTACAAACAGGCAACTGAAGGACCCTGCAAACTTTCAAGGCCTGGATTCTGGGATCCTATTGGAAGATATAAATGGTAATTTCACTTATAGAGTTAAGAAAGAATTTTCATTTATATCAATTAATTATACAGCTATTATGTATTTTGTGAATAAAAGCCTACTAGGTATTTGCTCACAATTTTATTCTTTAAATGTCCTTAATATACTTTTGCATATATAATTGCTGAAAGTATTCATTTTTATAAGTTTTTGTCAATAAATTATCAAGGATGCTTAAATCTTAAAAAAAATATATACTTTTGCATAATTAGGAACATCTTGGGTAAGATAGGAAAACAGCATTGTTGTGGGTAGGTACTCTATAGATGGAAAATGTTTGCACTTATTCTTCCTTTCCTTTTGTGGCGGTTCCTCCTTCCAACCTTAGATCAATCCCTCATATTAAATGAACACATTTGCTGTTGGTAGTACAATTTAGTTAATTCTAACAGTCTGAGATAGAGGCAGGAGGATCAGGAATTCAAGGCCTTTTTTTGCTATATAGTGAGTGTGAGGCCAGCCTGTGCTATATGAGACTGCTTCTCAAAAAAAGCAAAAACAAGCTTCCTTATCTCTTTGACCTGCCAAAGAACATAGTGGCTTTTGCTTTGATACTGAGGTAATGTGTAACTTGGCTTGACTCAGTGACTGCTACTTACCTTTGGTCTAAGATGGCTTCTGACCCACAGTACTTGAGTTGAATATTGGCTTCTAATGTTCTAGTTAAAAAAATCATGAGATATTTAGATGTTCTACCATTTTCTGCATTGACTACCATGAACATCTTGGTACGTTTACTACTGTAGATTTACAAAGGTTAATTTTCGATTATACTTTATCAATATAGCATGGTAATTAGTGCATCATGTTTTTCAAATAATTAAGTTTTTGAATTCATAGATGGAAATTATTTTTCCCCCTAGAATTGACCTGTGGCAGAGTTAATTGCTAAAAACAATGTATAAATAGGGGATTTGTGTTATCTTTTGAGACAGTCTCATTCTAAAACTCATATGTAGCCTTGAACTTTTGTTCTGTCTCTGCCTTCCCAGTGTTGAGGTTACAGGGCAAGATTACAATACCTACTTTATTCCATGCTAGGGATTGAACCCAGGGCCTTGTGCCTGCTAGACAAATACTTTTACCAACTGAACTACATCCTTAGGCCTATTTCATCTTTATTTTTAGTATATAAATTAGTTATACATTTAAATTAATAGGAAAATTTTAACCTAAATGTATATTTCTCTACAACATGGCTTTCACAGTTCCTATGACATGAAAACTTTACTAAGGCTGGAGAGATGGCTTAGTGGTTAAGAGCACTTGGTACTCTTGCAGAGGCCTTGGGTTTGCTTTGAGACTAAGGTAGCACCCACGCTGGGTGTCTTACAACTGCCTGTGGCACCAGCTCCAGGGGATCTGATGCCTCTTCTGGCGTGTCAGAGCAGTTGTCTGCAAATGGCACACATACATATACTCAAAAAGGAAAAAAATAAGCTAGACCTTTGGGGCTGGAGACATGGCTCAGTGGTTAAGTGTATTTTTTGCAGAGGACTTAGGTTTAGTTTCCAGCACCCATGTGGTGGCTCATGCCTTTAACTCCTGCTCCAGGGAATCTGACAACCTCTCGGCTTCTGTGAGTTCCTGCACACAATGGTACACATAAACTCCTGCAAACATACACTCATGCAAATCAACTTTTCTTTTTTTTTTTTTTTGTTCTTTTGTTTTTTGAGATGGGGTTTCTCTTTGTAGTAGTCCTGGCTGTCCTGGAGCTCACTTTGTAAACCAGGCTGCCCTTGAACTTGAGATCTGCCTGCCTCTGCTTCCTGAGTGCTGGGATTAAAGGTGTGTGCCACCACCACCTGACACAAATAAATTTTTTAAAAATCCTTAAAACCTTTTTTTTTTAACTTTTTTTTTTATTGAGAAAAGAGAAAAAAAAAAAACAAATTTCCTCCTCCTCCCAGCCTCCCATTTCCCTCCCCCTCCTCCCACCCTTCTCCCCCTCCCCCCACTCCTCTCCCCCTCCCTCTCCAGCCCAAAGAGCAGTCAGATTTCCCTGCCCTGTGGTAAGTCCTAGGTCCTCCCCCCTCCGTGCATTTCTAGCTGGACTGTGACTGAAAAAGCATGGGATAAAACTGGACTCTCTGAGCATGGCCAACAATGAGGGCTGATGAGAACCCAAGGACAATGGCACGGGGTTTTGAACCTACGTAATGTGCTGGCTTTGTGGGAGCCTAGCCAGTTTGGATGTTCACCTTCCTTAAAACCTTTTAAAGGATTCTTAGGAAATATTTAAGAATAGTGTATAATCTTATGTGGTCTACACTTATGTGAATGTGTCAAATGTTTAATATTTAAAATTTTCTTATTTTATATTTTTAAAAATCATTATAAAAGGTTATAAAAGGCTATTTATATGATATATACTTTGAGCACATTCCTCCCATACTTGACTACCCTTCGTTTATCCTTCTTGTTCTTTCTTCTTAATTAATTAATTAATTTTTATTTTATGTGCATTGGTGTTTTGCCATGGATGTCACGTTCCCTGCAACTAGAATTACAGTTGTGCGCTGCCACGTGGATGCTAGGAATTGAACCTGGGACCTCTGGAAGAGCAGTCAGTGCTCTTAACCACTGAGACATCTCTCTAGCCTCTCTCCCCCCTTCTTCCATTAGTTCCTGGTTCCTCCATCTCACTTAACTCTCATGTCATCAGTACAGACATGATTTTGTGTGTGAAGTGTAAGATCAATAAATGGGAGAAAACTTGATGTTTGTCTTTCTGAGATCGATTTAATTCATGTCATATGATTTTCTCTAGTTGTATCCATTTTCCTGCAGTTAGCATAACTTTATTATTTAATAGGTTCAGGCATGAGCTAGCATACCTAGCTCAAAAATCAAGTATCTTTTGTTTTTACTTTTATATTTTCATTCTAGGGATGCTTGGAGTTCATTGGGTGATATGACTAAAGAAGAAGCCATGATTGCATATGTTGAAGAAATGAAAAAGGTGGGGGAAATAATTCATAGTACAGAATAAAAAAATAAAAGTTTTTTTTTTGGTTTTCTTTTTTTGTTTTTTGGGACAGGGTTTCTCTGTAGCTTTGGAGCCTGTCCTAGAACTAGCTCTTGTAGACCAGGCTGGCCTCGAACTGACAGAGATCTGCCTGCCTCTGCCTCCTGAGTGCTGGGATTAAAGGCGTGTGCCACCACTGCTCAGCTAGAATAAAAGTATTCAAAACATCTTGAATTTACTTTTTTTGTGTGCCATTAGTTGCTACTATTGAGCTGCATGTCCAGTATCTGTAGGTTTTTTTTTTTTTTTTTTTTTGAGACAAGGCTTTAAGCAGCCTCAGAGTAGTCTGTGCAGATGACCTGGTTCCTTTGCCTCTACTTCCTGAGTACTGGACTTATGTACAAGCTCCTCGCAGCCCAGTTTTATGTGGTGTTGGAAATAGAGCCAAAGGCTTCCTGCATGCAAGCCAAGTATATTAACTGACTACATGCCCAGGCCTGCCTAGTGATTTTAAAGAAACTGCTTTTAAATATAAAGTCTGAAATAGGGGAGTTAGTCTCCCTCCCCCTAGAGGATTTTTAATAATTTTTATTTGGAAAATTCAGAATATTGTGCTGTTTCTTTTTCATATTGCCTCTGCTACTCATTGTGTGCCCTTCGTTACATTTTCACAACTTTCTTTAGTGGACTTTAGAGCAGAGGGTAGAGTTCATTGTTTTTTTTTAGCTGTTATCTGTATCAGTAGCACAAAAACAAAGGAACCCTTCAAAAGCAGAGAAAATTAAAAGCCACTGTGGTTTGATTATTCTTTTTTAAAAAAAGTTACACTTAGGACTGGGCGGGGGTGGTGCACGCCTTTAATCCTAGCACTCGGGAGGCAGAGGCAGTCGGATCTCTGTGAGTTCGAGGCCAGCCTGGTCTATAAGAGCTAAGTCCACGACAGACTTCAAAGCTGTAGAGAAATCCTAAAAACTAAAACTCGAAAAACTAAAAAAAAAGTTACATTTAGTTTATCAAGGTGATCAAGTTAAAAAAAAGTTACACTTAGTTATTTTGTGGGTGTCATAGTGTATGTGTGATACTCAGGGCAGCTTGTAGGACTTGGTTCTCTCCTTCTGCAGTGGGGTCCAAGGATTAACCTCAGGTTGTGTGGTTGGCAGCAAGTGTCTTTACTCACTGACCCATCTTGCTGACCTCTTTCTTACCTCAAATAGTGTATAACTTTCAGGATATGTTTCTATAATTCAATATAAAATTGAACTGACATTAATGTTTATCCATTTTTTCCTATCCAGTTTTATTAAGTAATGGTTTAGCCAGTTTATAGTAAGAAAGGGAGTTGGGAGTGCTGACTTGTGCTTGTATGAATTCAAGATCAGCCTGGTCTATATAGGGAGTTCCAAGGACAGCCAGGGATACACAGTGAGATCCTGCCCCCACAAACAAAAACAAACACCCAAACCCCAAAACAGATGAATGATTCTAAATTGTCTCATAGTCTTGAAGGTATCAAAGAGTTTATCAATGCTCTATCTTCATGTTCTCTTAGAAGCTTTCTCACTATCAAATGGCAGATATAATTTCATTCTAGCTCTACTGCTTTCTGTTTTTTTATAAACCCTAGATTTTAATGTAAAACTTAAAATTATTATATAATCCTTTCATTTGAAGTCTATGTAAAATCGTCTTCAAATGAAAATATTTTTTTTAAATAAAAAAGGTTATTTTAATTTATGTATATGTGCCTGAGAATATGTGGACCACATGGATATAGGAGCCCTCAGAGGTCAAAAGTGGAGCCGCAGATGGCTGTTAGCCACCATGTGGGTGCTGGGAACCCAACCTGGGTCCTCTTTAGGAATATCAAGTTTTCTGTAACTAACAGCTTAGTCACCAGCTCCAAGAATACTTTTAGATCATTAGCATATACATCTTTAGTATGATTGAAAAAAATTAGTTAATGTTCATTATATAACTAATGTAGTCCCTTTGGGAAGTCTGCTAGTGAACTTCAAATCTGCAAATGATTGACAGACTGGGAATAGTAGATTTTGTACAACTACAGACCAAGTTAATAGTTGGTGATTTTACAGTATTTCTTTCTCTTAATTATAGATTCTTGAAACTATGCCCATGACCGAGAAAGTTGAAGAATTGCTGCATGTTATCGGTCCATTTTATGAAATTGTAGAAGACAAAAAGAGTGGCAAGAGTTCTGACTTGACCTCAGGTTGGACAGGCTTATGTTTCTTTTCAAGACATGGTCTTGTGTACAAGGTCGGGCCAGGCTGGCCTCGAACTCATCACCTTCCTTCCTCATTCACCCATATTCTGGGATTACAGGCATGTGTAATCCTGCTCAGCTCTGTTTTACCTTTTTTTCTTACCTCAGCAGCTGATACAATATGCATGCACGAATACCTATGTGTCTAATTTTCTCTTTTACTTTCACATGCCAGTCCGACTGGAGAAACTCTCCAAATATTTAGAAGGTAGGAATAATGAAATCCATGTAAAGCCCTTGCTTAAAATTTATAGGGTGACGGTAAAGAGCACTTCCTGCTCTTCCAGAGGACCTGGTCATGTCAGGTAGCACCAAGTCAGGTAGCTTACAGCTGATTCTTAGAACTACAGAACAAACTATGGCGAGGTCATGATTCTCTAATAGAAAATAGACTTGAAGTTTTAGTCTTTCATTTGGTTTACTTAGGTGGAGTTAAATAGGAATGTAGGCCTCACCGTAGCACAATGCCAGCTCTATGCGCTACAGTACAGGCAAGGGGCTGGAGATGGAAACACATACATAGAGATGGGTAAGGCCAAGGATGCCCCGAATGCCCTTTACTGTGTTCCAGGGCAGCTTATATAGGGCCTCCTTCCACGTGGTAACTCTGAGCTGCAAGCCCACCAGAAACCACTCCCCTGTCATCAGGAACTCTTGAGGGTCTCATGCTCAGAGCAGCTACAAAACAAGTTGTTTGCTCAGAGCCTGCAGGCATAGGAAAACAAGTTGTTTACTCTGGCAGGCAGGGGGTCACAGGAAATTCGGGGTCTGGGGATCCACAGTCCCCAGCACCCCGCTGTTAAAGTGTATAGGTATTTTGGAGTTTAATGTAATTGGATATTTTTCTTTTTAATGATTGTTAAAGTTAGCTTCTGTGTGTATGTGTGCACACACACACATGCCATGCATGCATGCGTACACACCCCAGTGTGATTGTGGAGGTCAGCGAGTAGGTTGCAGGAATTGTCTTTCTTTCTATCCTGTGGTTCCTGAGAATTGAGTTGAACTCAGATCAGGTTTGTGTTGGGTATCTCTGCCCAGTGAGACATATTGCTGGTGCCAAAGTGGATTTTTGTAAGAGAAAGAAAAAATGTTCATGGTATAAGATCACTTCTTTTTTTCTGCTTTTTGTTTTTTTTTTTTTTTGTTTTTATTGTTGTTTTGTTTGATTTTTGACAGGGTTCAGTATGTAGACTATCCTAATCTGAACTCAGGATTCCTCTTGCCTCAGCCTCCTGAGTGCAGGGGTTACAGCTACCACACCTTGCCTTTTCTGCCCTCTTCAGTGTCTGTGCACTGTTGTTTCTCAAAGTGTGGTCCAGAACCCAGCAGCACTGGTAAAGCATGACACCCTTACAGATGTGGACAGTCTTAGATCACTCTAAAACTCCTAATTCCAGATCTGTATCCTCGTTAGAGCTCAGCACTGGTAAAGCATGACACCCTTACGGATGTGGACAGTCTTAGATCACTCTAAAACTCCTAATTCCAGATCTGTATCCTCGTTAGAGCTCAGTTGAAAAGCATATTGTAGTTTGTGTCTTCTCTTAGGGTAAATTTTGGCCAATACTATTTGCTTCTTTAAGTGATGAAATTGATGTTTTAAAAAAATGGCAGTGGTGGCGCACGCCTTTAATCCCAGCACTCAAGAGGCAGAGGATCTCTTGGATCTCTTGAGTTCTAGGCCAGCCTGGTCTACAAAGTGAATTCAAAGACAGCTAGGGCTACATAGAGAAACCCTGTCTTGAAATTTCTTCACAAAAAGTCAGTCAGTCAGTCTGCCTGCTTGCCTATCTACTCCCTGTCTGCCTGCCTGCCTGCTTGCCTATCTATCTATCTATCTATCTATCTATCTATCTATCTATTATTCACATTATAAATATATAAAAATTAGGCTTTATACCTTGAGCCCTAAAGACAATACAAAAAAATTAAAAATGTAAATAGTGCCTGATTCTGCAGCACAAATGCTGAGATTGAATAATACAGTCATTATCATGGCTTCTGTGCCAGGATGATGATACAGATTTATGCAGCATTCTGTATCTGATAGGAAGAAGTTAGGCGGGCATGGTGGTGTATGTCTATAATCCCAGCTCGTTGGGAGCAGAGGCAGGAAGCTTGTTGCAGGATTGAGTCCAGTCTGGTCTACATAGTGAGTTCTAAGCCAGCCAGGGCTGTAGTGTGAGGTTTTATCTCAACAATTAAAATGGAGTCCAACTATATTATCAGGGAGACCAGGGAGACTATTGGTAGGACTAAAATATCATATTGATGCTTTTGGCAGGCTAGCAAATTGTTTTTCATTTACTAAGTATGAAGGTCATTTATATTCAACTTTATTTTTTTGATTGATATTAACTTCAAAATTAGTTCTCACTTGGCTGCAGAAAGGATAGGTAAGACAGCATTATCATTTTTGTTGTAAACTGGTAATTGAAGTAATTTGTATAGCTATAAATGTGTAGAGTAAAAGAATAACATTACATTTATATATTTGTTTGTTTGTTTTTCAAGACCGGCTGTTCTGGAACTCTGTAGACCAGGCTGGCCTCAAACTTGCCTCCTGCCTCTGCCTCCTGAGTGCTGGGATTAAAGGCGTGTGCTGCCATCATCCAATTTATATTTTTAATATATATATACTTTTAATATATATGTGTGTGTGTGTGTGTGTGTGTGTGTGTGTGTGTGTGTATTTTGCCTGTGTGCCTGTAAGTGGAGCTAAAGTCTAGACAGTTGTAAGCCACCACCTAGTGCTAAAATGCACCTAGGTCCCTCGGAAGAGCAGCGGTGCTCTTAACCTCTGACTCATCTCTCTAGCTTCCATTGTTAGTATTGTGATTTAAAAAAATGGTTTATTGTTTAGTGAATTTTGTTTTGCAAATTCCAACATTAAGAATTTTTCATTTCATGATTTAGATCTTGGTAATGTTCTGATCTCTTCAAATGCCAAAGCTGTTAATGGTAAAACTGAGAGCAGTGATAGTGGAGCTGAGTCTGAGGAAGAAGAGGCCCAAGAAGAGTTAAAAGGAGCAGAGCAGAGTGATAGCAATGGTAAGTCTGGAGTAACTGGTTAATACAGTTAATAATCTCGTACCAGGTAAGATAAAAGGACGTAACATTTGGGTTTTTTTTTTTGTATATTATTAATGCATGTGATGGCATTTGGAGTATTTTCAGTGAATCAAAATGCTCTTCTATGGAATATACAGGCAGCCAGCCTTATTAATTAATGAAATAAGGGCTAGAGGAACGGCTCAGTGGTTAAGAGCACTAGTTGCTCTTCCAGAGGACCCAGGTTCAATTCCCAGCACCCATATGACAGCTCACAACTGTTTAATTCCAGTGAATCTGGCACCTTTATACCACATGCACATAAAATAAAGTTAAATATTTAAAAAAAATTAATGAAATAGGTGTTAATTGAGGGTAGACAAGAGTAGGCTATTCTCCCAAAGCATAAAATGATGTATTGTGTAATGTAAAGGGGTATTTACTTTTATTATGCATATGGGTATTTTGTCTGCATGCATGTCTGTGCACCATGTGCATGCTGTGTCCTCAGAGGTCAGAGAAGGCATCAGATTTTTGGAACTAGAATTATACATAGTTGTAAGGTGCCATGTGGGTCAGCCAGTGCTCTTAACTGCTGAGCCATCTCTCCATCTCTGTATTGTGTAATTTTTTAATTTTAATTTTTGGGAAACAATGCTTCACTTATCCCTGACTGGCCTTGCATATGCTCTGTAGCTGAGGATGACCTGAACTTCTCATGCTCCTGCTGGGTTATAGGTGACTGCTACCATGCTCAGTTGATGCATTGTCATTAAGGCCAGGGCTTCATTAGTGTTATGCTAGTACTCTACCAACGGATCTATATCCCTAGCCCATGTATATATTATTTTAAGGTGTTATTTTTAGCATAGATATATGCATATACACTGTTTTTTTTAGCATTTTATCAAAATTAAATGGACTATAGAGAATAGAATACAGGCATAACCTAAGGCCTGGCATATGTAGGCAAGCATTCTACCCTTGAGCTATGCACTCAGCTCTTAGTATTTTGAGATTGAGTTTTACTATGTAGCCCAGGGAGACCTCATATTTAACAATCCTGATTTTTTCTCTTGTGTGTTGGGATCACCCCAGGTGTAAATTTTGATGGTGGAATATTGGAATCATGGGGTACCACATTCTGTGTTAGCAGAAGAACAAGCACTGTGAAGGAAAGAGATACTTACTGAAACTGCACAGCTTTATTTATTGATTATGTATATAGTGTTCTATCTGCCTGTGTGCCTGCAGGCCAGAAGAGCCAGATCTCATTACAGATGGTTATGAGCTACCATGTGGTTTCTGGGAATTGAACTCAGGATCTCTGGAAGAGCAGCCAGTGCTCTTGACTGCTGAGCCATCTGTCCAGCCCCCCACAGTCTGTTTCTTATGGATCAGTTTAACAGTCTGGTAATCTTCATTTCTTTGTTTCTAGAGCAATTTGTCTGAGGTAATGAAAAACATTAGGACATTATTCTAGGAACTGGATAGGTGGCTCAGCAGTTAGGAGCACTGACTGCTTTTTTAGAGGACCTGGGTTCAGTTCCCAGCATGCACAGGGTATCAGATGCTCTGGAGCTGAAGCTGTAGGCAGTTGTGAACCTGACATGGGTGCTGGGGACAGAACTTGAATCCTCTGGAAAACCAGGAAGTGCTCTTAACTGCTGGGCCATCTCTGCAGCCCAAGATGACGATGATAGTGATGCATTTTAAAGTCTTTTCATAAGAGTCATGGAGAATGGGGGTTTTTTCTTTTTTTGGGGAGGGTGGTTTCGAGACAAGGTTTCTCTGCAGCTTTGGAGCCTATCCTGGAACTTGCTCTGTAGAACAGGCTGGCCTTGAACTCACAGAGATCTGCCTGCCTCTGCTGGGAGTAAAGGCATGTGCCACCACCTTGTGGAGAGAATGGGAGCATTTTGACAATTTAACATGAATTTTGGGTGAGCTTTGGCATGTAATAATAGGACCCCTTTTGAGGAACCACCCATTTCTCCCATCCAAATAGGAAGCCCTTCAAAAAAGATTGTGGTAATTTGGGAATTGACTATAGATTCTAGAACATCTGTGTATCGCTAGCCTGGTACTCTCTACTCTCTATCTAGACCTCAGATTCACAGAGAGTGCTGAGTGCTAGGATTAAAGACTGAGTCACCATGCCTGGTTACGAGGTACTTTATGCATCTCACCTTTTTTTTTTCCATACAAGATAAGAAAATGATGAAGAAATCACCAGATAAGAATTTGGAAATCATTGTTACCAATGGCTATAAGGATAGCTTTGTGCAGGATACACACAATGATCTTCATACCGATTCTTCCCCAAATGTCAGAAACAATGAAGAAGCAAAGCCTGTAGATCAGAGCTTGGAGCAAACTGAAAACACTGTTGTCTATGTCCACCAAGGTATTGTTCTCAGATATTCCTTTGCCTAATCGTTTTCTTATACCTAAAATCCTCTTCTAACAATTCTAGGGTGTTGAAAACTTACAGTAAACTGTTTAGAAATGTCTTCTTAGGGTTGTTAATGCTGCTATAAGGGTTTGTTACTTTGAAACAGAGAATTAGAGCCAGAATGCTTTCTTATATTTGATTCTTTTTTTTTTGTTCATAGTGTGTAGTTGTGTGTGTATTATGTTAAGTCTTTGGAGGGTATATGGAGGGTAGAGAATAACTAGATAGAGTTGACTCTGTTTTTCCATCTTTGGGATTTTGAACTCAGATGGTCAGATTTGGCAGTAAGCTCCTCTATTTTACCAGCTGTGGTGTGTTTTATCAGGACCCACCTGTGTAGACCTGGTGGCCTAGAACTGCTAGTGGTTCTCCTGCCTTTACTTCCTAAGTCTAGCTGTTTATATATACATAACACACATATATGTACACACTATATATATATATCATGACCTGGAGCCAGGTGTGGTGGAATACCTGTAATCTCAGCACTTTAGAAGCTGAGGCAGGAACACTGTGGATTTGAGGGTAACCTATGATGACTTGGTAAGACAGACTTCTTTGCCAGAATGAGTATAATAGAGGACTGATGAGTTGTGAAATATAGAATGAAATGTTTTTATTGTCCTAGAGTATAAATACACTGTCTGGACATTTGTTTCTATTTAGATACAAATGATGATCACAGTGAGGACGCTTCAGGAATTCATCATTTGACAAGTGACTCAGACAGTGAAGTGTACTGTGATTCTATGGAGCAATTTGGACAAGAAGAGGTAAAGATGACATTTTACAACTGACAAATTTTCAAAATGATATATCCAGTATGCAGAATACAATATGACATTCATACAATCATGCCATAATGAAACCATTATTTTCTACACTAAGGAGACTAACAAAACCCAAAAAAAACAAAAACCAAACCCAACCAAACAAACAAAAAATCCCCAAAATACCAATGCATAACCTCTTTAGTAGCTAATAAACTTGTTCATTAATTTGGAATGAACCTGCTGTAGGGCAAAGTGCTTCCCCAGAACCTGTGTAAGCTAGAGGACATGTGTAACCTAGTGCCCCTTTAGTGAGATGGGAGCTGGTGACAGGAGAATCCCCAGGAGCTCACAGGCCAGCTAGGCTGCTGTATGTAGTGACGGATGACAGATGACCCAGGTTCAGGTGGGAAGCCAGCGCAGACATCTGAGGTGTTGATGTTTAAATACCTCATGTGTGCTGTGACACTGACGAAATACAGCCACGAACACACTGGAGAATACACACACGTCACACACTTTAAAAATATCCTGAAAATGTTTAAACATTTATAGTGTATGTGTGTGTGTGTAAATTAAAGTGTATAATGATTATAGTAAATTATAAAGTGTATGATAATAATAGCTGAGGCTGGCTTTGTGGGTAAGATCACTTGTTCCACAAGTTTGAGAGGAAGGAGAAGGACTTGAGTTTGAAATCTCAATGTCCCTATCAGAAGTCATGTGTGGAGGACAGCATGGTGGCACACACCTTTAATCCTAGCACTCAAGAAACAGGCAGGCTGATTTCTGTGAGTTCAGTTCAGCCATGGTTATACTGTAGGAACCTGTTTCAAAGACAAAATAAGCTGTGTGACTCTGTGTGCATACTCCTCAGTATTGTGTGGAACAGAAGAGAGGAGGATTCCTAGGGTTTTCTTGTTGTCAGCTCTAGGTTCAGTGAGAGATGTGTACCAGGGAATAAGGTGGAGAGCGGCAATGGTAGAGTAGGCTGCTGGTGACCCTCTGCTCTCTGCGTGTTCATGCCGGGGAGCACATGACGGGGAGCACTGATGCATGGCCATAGCCAACACACGTGCTTTCACACACACACCAAAAGAGAATTAGTTTTAATATAATACTACAATAGCAGAATTAGAATAAAATTATTTTATAAAGATACTATATTAGAATACCAATATAGACAGTAGACAACTATTACAGTAATACAGCATTCCATTTTAAGTTATCTTATGTGTATTTTATAAATAATGTGTCATAGGTAGAATGGAGGTGCAGAGGGTAAACTGTTTATTCTGCTGTCCTTGCTGAAACATTGATTAGCGAAGAAAACTGAATAATCTTCAGCATAAATTAGTTCTTCATATTGACTATACTCCAGTCAGTTAAAACTTTTGGTTCAAGGGCTGGAGAGCTGCTGGTTCAGCAGTTAAGAGCGTATACTCTGTCCTTCCTTTTTTTTTTTTCTTCTGAGACAGGGTTTCTCTGTGTCCTGGATCTAGCTCTTACAGACCAGGCTAGCCTTGAACTCACAGAGATCCTCCTGCCTCTGCCTCCCAAATGCTGGGATTAAAGGTGTGCACTGCCACCCTCTTAAGAGTGCTCTTGTGAGGACCCAAGTTTGATTCCTAGCACCACATCAAGACAGGTCACAACTGCCTGTGAATCCTACCCTGGAGATCTGATGCCCTCTTCTTACCCACAAGGGCATCGCTCTCATTTACAAAAACCTCCATACAAACCCACATACAAGATGCACACCTATCTACATAGTTAAAAATAAAAATAAAGCCTTTAAACTAGGAAGTGGTGCTTTTAATCCCAGCAGAGGCAGGTGGATCTCTGTGAGTTCAAGGCCAACCTGATCTCCAGAGGTAGTGCCAGGACAGACTCCAAAGCTACAGAAAAACCCTGTTTCGAAAAACCAAAAAAAAAAAAAAACAAAAAAAAAAAACCAAAACTTTTAAAACAAAAACCTACTTAAAATAATCTTCAGATTTCAGTCAAGATTCAGTATTGGAAGAAGAACAAATTACACATAGGTCTGTGATTGTGTGTAGTGGCCTACAGCATTTGGGAGTAGAGGCAATTATATCCCCAAGTTTACTGGAAAGTTCCAGGCCAGCTAAGGGTACATAGTAAGATGCGGTTCCCTCAGGGAAAGAAAGAAACAAAAAACCCCAAAAAACTCAACAAAGGAACAAAAAGGAAGTTGGTTATTAGCACCTTTTTTCTTTTTCTCTTTAAGGCAAAATTGTACTAAATAGCCCTGGTGGGCTCATAACTCCATGTGTACACAAGGCTGGTGTTGATGGAGATCTGCCTGCCTGTCTTCCTCTAGTGCCTCCCTCGTGCACTACTGGACAGTTCATTTCAATCACCTTTTCTTGGTGATCCAGGAATTTAGTATTTTTCAGTAGTACAGCTTTGGCGATTCTTTGGGTTCAGGCAGTACTGAAGGTTGATAACTATTAAAGTAATAAATTCACTGTTTTCTTTCTTTTGAATTGTAACTGCCATACTCTTTGCCTAGTGTGATGGCTAGTTTTATGTTAATTTGACACAAACTAGAGTCATTTGGGAAAGGGGACCCTCGGTTGAGACAGTGTTCCTACCAAAATAGCCTGTGAGCTATTTTCTTCATTATACTTGATGTGCTGGGCCCAGATTACTGTGGACAGAGCCACCACTTGGCCCATGGCCTTGGATGATATAAAAAAACAGGCTTAGCAAGCTGTGAAGAACAAGCCAGTATAAGCAGCACTTCTTTATGAGTTCTTGCCTTGTCCTGACTTCCCTTAGCAATGACTTATATGCATATGGTGAAATAAACCCTTTTATTCCCAAGTTGCTTTTGGTCATGGTGTTTTTAGCACACCAGAAAAACCCTAACTGAGACACCTATGGCTTCAGTTTTTACTTACCTGTATCTGAACCATTATCTTTCTTTTGTTATCCTACAGCCTTATCTATCTCCTGTATTTATTTTAGTATGTCACCAAACTGTCTAGTCATTAGAAATTTCCTTTCTCTTGCTCTATGTGCTCAGTTTTTTAAGACCAGTACTATTCTGTTGTAAGTTCTCAAACATCTTCCATCCCAACTACACTGATGGTTCATTGTCATTATGAAACCTTTGATATGACTTATATTCATTTGTTCTTTTTTGATTTTGTTTTGACTCAGGGGCTGGCTGTAACTTTGGCTGGTTCCAGAGCTCACTATGTAGAACAGGTTATCCTGCAATGCACAGAGATCCGCCTGCCTCTGCTTCTGAGTGCGGGATTAAAGGCGGGCGCCACCATGCTTGGCCCATACTCCATTTGTCCTCAGTTGAATGTCCATCATCATTTTTTGATTGACTTCTGTAGTATCTGCCACATGCTGTTTTTCATAAATCTTATTAGACAATCCTTCAATAATCTCTTAGGACTCCCTTACTAAGGTTATGAGCCAGGGTCCTTTTTCCTTATAGTTGTCTAGAGTTAAGTATAGTAACTAAGGTGAACATTTCTTTATATCTTGGGTGACTGGGTGACTCTTGGGAACCCTTACATTTTGCTCATAGAGAAAATCATGCCTACTCAATTACTTCTTGTATATGGGAAACTGAGTTCAAGTTGAAGGATATTTTAAAGAAAGGAATATTTCCAGCAGGAACATGAGAGGACCCTTTTAGAAAACAGTATTTTTATTACCATAAAAACTTTTGCTATATCAGTTAAATTTATAACTTGTAACTATTGTTTTAAATTTGTAAGTCTTTAGACAACTTTATGTCAAACAATGGACACTTTCAGTATTACTTAGGTGGTGATCCCAGTCAGCACTTGGAACATTCTGGGTTTTGTGAAGATGCTCAAATCTCTCCTGGAAATGGCAGCATTGGGAAAATACGGATGGTAGCAATTGAGGGGAAAGGTGAAGTAAAGCACGGAGGAGAAGATGGCAGAAGCAGTGGAGCTCCACACCGAGAGAAGAGAGGGGGAGAAAGCGAGGACTTCTCTAGTGTTCGAAGAGGGAGAGGTGTGTACTCCTCCTTTACTGATTCATGTGATTTCTGAGACAGTCTCATTATCTAGATCTGGCTGGACTGGAACTTGTGATCCTTCTACCTCTGATTGCCAAGCGTTGGTGTGGTAGTGCCCAACTTAATTTTTTTTTAATCTTTTGTGCAGTATTTTCTAAAATAACATGCTGTGTGTGTGTGTGTGTGTGTGTGTGTGTGTATGTATGTGTGTACATTCTACATATAATGGCATGCATGTGAAAATCAGGACACGCAGGTCTGGCAACACATGTCTTTACTTGCTGAGCCACCTTGGCAGCCCATGATACAGTATGTCTAAGGAACCACGTTTATGCCCTCTGAACCATCACTGCTCTAACTCTGCTGCTACTTTGAGTCCCAGTGTAAGGCAGTCTGAATTATTTATCTTTTCCTTACTTGACTTGAAGGAGATCATTTAAAGCCGACAAATCAATAACAGCTAAGGAACAATGAACACTAAAAATACCGACAGTAGTGATGTGGGCTGGTGAGATGGTCTGCAGGTTAAGTGTGCTGCCAAACCTGAGAACTGGGTGTGATCCCTGGGTGGAAGCAGATATAACTTGATTTTCACTAGTTGTCCTCTGACCTCCAGTGCACACCTTGGCGTGAGCATGCCCTCCACCGGGACACACAAAAAAAATGTAACAATAATAAAAAATAGTGATGTGATTAGGGAGTAGACTAGATATGAGTGTGGAAAAAGTAAATATATTTGTTATAGTTATTTCTGGTAAGAAATAAAGATACTATGAAAAGCATGAGAGAATGAATGTAGAGAGCCAGTTGGTGATGGTGCAGACCTTTATTCCCTCCTCTCCGGAGTCAGAGGCAGGTGGAACTCTGAGTTTGAGGCCAGCCTGGTCTACAGAGCGAGTTCTCTGTCTTGACAAACAAACAAAATTAATGTAGAACAGGAAGTGTGGCTCAGTCATAGCTGTGTTTGGTCCCCACCATTGAATGAGAAAGGAAAGGGAAAAGGATTGAGAAATAACCATTTGGACAGAGTATGGATATTTTCAGTTTTCAATAGGATTATGTCCCAATACAACCTTTATAAATTGTGAATATTAAGCTGAATATGCATATAGCCTAACTGCCTTAATTATACTTGGAACACTTGCATTGGCTTGCTCTTAGGCAAAATCATCTCACACAAAGCCCATTCAAAAAATATACTATACTTCAGGGGCTGGAGAGATGGATGAGATGGAGAGATGGTAGTTAAGAGTATCTGTTGCTCTTGTAAAGGACCTGGGTTCAGTTCCCAGCATCCATATCAGAGGGCTCACAACTGCCTGTAACTTTCGTCCCAGGAATCGAGCACCCTGTCTCTTTGGGCACCTGCTTGCATGTGGTGCACAGACATAAACATTCTCTTTCTTTCTCACTCTCTCACACACAGATAAATCTTAAAAAAATACTGTAATTCAGGTGAAAAACTCAGTTGTTATATAGGTATACTTTTGTACCATTTAATGTTGAAAAATTGTAGGTAGAATCTTTGCATTCAGTGGAAACATTAGTACACTGAATGCACAAAAGTAGAAAGGAAAACCAATAAGGGATTGGATTGGATTTCCTAATACTCAGTTCATTGAATTTACATAGGTCTTGCTCTTTTCTTATTATAAATAGAACTGCATCTAGAGCACAAATTAACTCAAATTTCACACTTGATCTCCTTATACTTCTGGCCAAGAGGATTAGAAAGGTAAGAAGGAAAAAACTCTTGACTTCTGTTATGAAGGAAGATCTGTAACACTCCATTTCTGCAAGAATACACAGGAATAAAAATTGTTCGCTGTGCTGAGGATGTAGTTAAGGGTCGAGTACTTGTCTCGTACATGTGAGGACATAGGCTCAAGCCCCAGCAACACACACACGCATACACACACACACACACACTCACGGGGGTAGTGGAGGGAGAGAACAAACACAAGAAAAACAATAAAAAACCTCTTGTTAGCCTTCTGAAAAATAAGTTGGCAATACTAAGAACCTTTACAAATCTTTTGATCCAATAATTATTATTATTGGAATCTGTACTAAAGGAGGTGTGATGGTTAATATTTGTTGTTAACTTGGAAGGATTTTGAGTCACCTAGGAGACAAGCCTCTTGGTGTGAGTGATGTCTAGATGGGGTTAGTTAGGTAGGAAGACTTTCCTGAACTGGGGTTCTAGATTAAATACAAAGGGGAAATTGAGCTGAGCACCCGTGTTCATCGTGCTCTGTTTCCTATTTGAGACCAATGTGATCAGTAGCCCCACGCTCCTGCTGCCATACCATTCCTGCCGTGATGGAATTGACCTTGACTGGAAGCCAAAACCAAACCTTCCTTTCTGAGGTTGCTTTGCTCAGGCACTTTGCTGCAGCAACCAGGAAAGTTACCAACACAGGAGACAACAAAAATTTAGAGATGAATACATTCATTGCAACATTATTTGCATTAGCAAAAATTTGGTTTTGAAGCCTGAGAGATGGTAAAATCACTTGCTACAACATACACTTGATGACCTGAATTCAATTCCTTAGACCCCACAGAGAAAACTGATCCTGAAAGTTGTCTTATGACTTTCACACATGCACCATGGCATGCACACATCCATACATATCTTTCAGTCATATACATACACGCAGGAATAATTGAAAATTTTAAAAATAATTGTGGGCTTTTTCTTTTTGAGACAGGGTTTTCTTATAGAACCCTGCTATTCTGGAACTTTCTATTTCGACCAGACTGGCCTTGAACTTACAGGGATCATCTGCCTACATTTGCCTCCCAAATGCTGGAATTAAAGGAGTGTACTACCATGCCCAGCCTTGAAGTAATTGTTTTTTGTCATTTTTGAGACAGAGTCTCATTTATCCTAGGCTAGCCTTGAACTCTTTCTGTAGCCCAAGCTGATTATGAACTTCTGCTTCTCCTGCATCTACCTCCCAAGTGCTAGGATTACAAGCACGTGCCACCATGCCTGGTTTTTATATTAGCAGAAATTCATAATCACTTTAGTCAGATGTGTAGAATGGTTGGTTAGTTTCTTCATGCTTCATATTAAGGGATTTATGAAAGCATGTAAGTGTTCTTGGAATAAGAGTCAATGATGGAGAGAAATGTTTGTAATATGATTTAAAGATAGCACATAATTATGAGGTTAAGCCAGTTTTTAAATCTGTGCATATAAAAAGGAATAAATGGCAATATAGAAAAATCTTAGTAGTTAGATATTTAATATGTATAAGAAGTATGCAGTTTACAATTAGAAAACTCTTTTATGAGCTTAAAAGGGTTTTAATTTTTTTTAAATATTTATTTATTTATTATATATACAATATTCTGTCTCTGTGTAAGCCTGCAGGCCAGAAGGGGCACCAGACTCCATTACAGATGGTTGTGAGCCACCATGTGGTTGCTGGGAATTGAACTCAGGACCTTTGGAAGAGCAGGCAATGCTCTTAACCTCTGAGCCATCTCTCCAGCCCAGGGTTTTAATTTTTAAACCAAGAAGAAATTTTTGTTCTTTAATGTAAATTTTAATAGTTTAAAACAAGTTACGTTTTTAGAAGCAGTTTTAATTACCTTTACAGTAAAGAGGGTTTAAATTTTTTTTTAAAGATTTATTTATTATATATAGTGTTCTGCCTGCATATGTGTGCCTGCAGGCCAGAAGAGGGCGCCAGATCTCATTACAGATGGTTGTGAGTTACCATGTGGTTGCTGGGAATTGAACTCAGGACCTCTGGAAGTGCTCTTAACCCCTGAGCCATCTCTCCAGCCCCCTGGTTTAAATTTTTATACAAAGATTTATTTTATTGTATGAATGTTTGCTGGCCTGTCTGTATGTGCCCCACGGGCATGTCTTGTGCCTGTCGAGTTCAGAAGGTAGTGTCGGATCCCTTGGAGTGGAGTTACCATGCAGGTGCTGGGAACCAAACCCAGGTCCTCTATAAGAGCAACAAGTTATAGATCAGCTGAGCTGTCTCGCCAGCCCCAGTAGAGTTTTTAAACATGTACTCTGATCATGAATCTTCCTTATGAATTGTATAAACATTGTCATACACTGGTAATAATGTACACTCTTCCCCTAATATAGAATAGATTCCATTAATGTTTTTTTGTTTGTTTGTTTTTCTAGACAGGGTTTCTTTGTAACTTTGGAACCTGTCCTGGAACATACTCTGTAGACCAGGCTGGCCTCGAACTCATAGAGATCCACCTGTCTCCCAAGTACTGGGATTGAAGGTGTAAAGGTGTGCACCCCTTCCCCTGGCTCCTAATGGTTTATTTTAGGTGCTTCCTGGTTGCTTTTACTTTTCTTTGTTTATTTATGTATCAAGGAATTATGAAGGAAAATGAATAGTACACTATTTCTATTTAAAAAAGAACCCCTTATTGATAGGTAACTTACTTTATTCTCTTAATAGGGCATAGAATTCCACATTTGAGTGAAGGAACCCAGGGTCGGCAAGTAGGAAGTGGAGGTGATGGAGAACGCTGGGGCTCAGACCGAGGGTCCAGAGGCAGCCTCAATGAGCAGATTGCTCTTGTGCTCATTAGATTACAAGAGGACATGCAGAATGTCCTTCAGAGACTTCATAAACTGGAAACACTAACTGCTTCACAGGTAAGCTACTAGTCTGTTGTTATCTTCTGCTAAGCAGGGTAGAATCTGTATTGATAATATTTGCATAAATACCAGGTGTGTGGGGGTGTGATGACATGGGTGACTCATACCTGTAATCCCAATAATAGGAAGGTGGAGGCAAGAAGGATCAGAAGTTCAAGTTCAACTACATTGGGAGTTGTAGGGCCAACTTGGGCTAGGGCTAGAGACCCTTTCTCAAAATAGAAATGAAAAACCCCCAAAATTACACACTTTTTTCTTTCATTCAAAGTTGTTACTTTTCATTTGTATTTAAAGGCGAAATTATCATTGCAGACAAGTAATCAGCCCTCCTCTTCACAGGTAAGAATTTTAAGTAAATTATAATACATTTACAGTTTTTGAGCTACTTAATGTGAAATCTACCTTTCAGAGCTTTGAAGCTAAAACTGTGTGTTGGGCTGTGTCCCTTTGGTCTTTGGACACTCTTTTCCTTGAGAGTGCTTTTTTTAAAAAAGTTGGATATGTTTATTTAAGTCTTAGAAGTCTGCTTACTGAGCATAGAATATTCTGTCAGAGGAAAGATTATTATTAGTTTTAATATTTATGAATTATGTATTAAGAAAGCTGGTCTGTGGTGTCTCATGCCTTTAAACCCAGCACTCAGGAGGCAGAGGCAGGAGGATCTCTGTGAGTTCGAGGCCAGCCTGGTCTACAGAGTGAGTTCCAAGACAGCCAGGGCTGTTACACAGAGAAAACCTGCCTTGAAAAACAAAACAACAAAACAAAACAAATGTCTTCAAGTTTCTCCATGCAGTACTTAAGAGATAAATGACAAGCTTATTTTGTTTTCACAGAAACCATCTTGGTGGCCCTTTGAGATGTCTCCTGGTGCATTAACTTTTGCTATTATATGGCCTTTTATTGCCCAGTGGTTGGTGCATTTATATTATCAAAGAAGGAGAAGGTAGTATTATAGTTCTATAATTGAAATGGTTCATGGACTCTTATAATTTGTAGTAGATACAAGGAGATAGGTCTGCTTTATAGATGCATTGTCATTCTGAACATCCAGGGACTAAAACTACCTTGGCAAATGTTTCTGTGGATTTCTGTGTACTTGTATACAGAATATGTGATGGATTTGTACACCTTTAATTTATGTACATGACAGTGACTATATGCTTTGTAAGATTTATGGCTAATGAAACATGATGCTCTTAAAGACCATTTATTTCTAAACAGCGTTAATAGAATTTCAGAAGCAGCAGCCAGTGTCTTGGTAGCACTTGCCCCTTCAAAACTGTGTATAAGTATGCTCTTTGCAGATACAGACCTTAGTTTAAATCACTTCCACCATAGTTACAAATTTTAGGTGCGTTTCAACTCCCTTTTATTTTTTATTATTTGTATTTTATTTGGGTATATTAGGTGTAGAACCCAGGGCCTCTTACTAGGCAAACAGTCTACCACTGTTCCAGCCCCCAAACTTCTTTTCATGTTTATTTTGTAGAAAGCCTGTGGTTAGGGCTTTGCAGACAGCTTAGTTGCACAGCAAGCACGAGGGACCTGAGTTGGATTTTCAGAACTACCAGACAGAGCGGGGCATGGCTGTGCAAGTGTGAAGGATCACTGCTGAGGAGGCTGGTCCAGGGTGATAAAATGGTGGTTCTTGACCTTCCTAGGGCTGAGGCCCTTTCAATACAGTTCCTCCTGCTGTGATGAACCTCAACTATAAAATTACTTTTATTGCTACTTCCTAACTATAATTTTGTTGCTGTTATGAAACATAATGTAAATATTTGTGTTTTCCAGTGGTCTTAGGCAACCCTCATGAAAGGGTCATTTGACCTTGTAAGGGATTTGGCCCACAGGTTGAGGACCATTGCTCTAAAACATGAATAGCTTCTAAAGCAATGTTCTTAACCTGTCACAGCATTAGGAAAGTTGAGAATCACTACTCTGAGGACTGACACCTGATGTTGACTTATGGCTTCTTCTGTGCATCTATTACATACACATGCACCACATACATGTGAATACGTACACACATATATACACAAAATATATAAAATGAAGGTAGTTGAGAAATTTGGCATAGAATAATAATTATTTACTTATTTTTTAATTTAAGATTGAAACAGCTTATTCAGCTTATTCATCATGAAAGGTTAAAAAAAACAAATGATATATCCAAGCATTAGAATCTCAGCACTTGTGGAATAGAAGCAAGAGGAGCAGGAGTTCCAGGCTAGCCAGTTACATAGTGAAACTGTCTTACAAAAACAAAAAAGGAAGAATTTTTTTCTTTTTTGAGACAGGGTTTCTTTGTGTTGTGTAGCCCTGGCTGTCCTGGAACTAAGTTTGTAGATCAGGTTAGCCTCGAAGTCAGACATCCACCTGCCTCTGCCTCTCGAGTGCTGGGACTAAAGGGGTGGGCCACCACTGCCCGGTCTAGAAAAATTGTTTTAGCAGTTATAGAAAATTGGATGGGGGGTGCTAGAGAGATGGCTCAGCAGTTAAGAGCACTGGATGCTCTTTCAGAGGACCAGATTCAATTCCCAGCACCCACATGGCAGCTTACAACTGTCTGTAACTACAAGATCTGACACCCTCACACAGACAGACATGCAGGCAAAAACGCCATTAAAAAAATATTAAGGAAATTTGGATTTTTTTTTTAAGTTTCTTTTTCTTGTTTGTTCTTTGAGCTTGTGTTTCAGACTTTGCTCAGGCTGGCTTGAGCTCAGGCCGGTGTCGAACTTGCAGTGGTACCCGGCCTCCCAAGTGCTGGGGTTATAGGTTTGTGCCATCACACCCCTTTGAAAATTGAACTGCTTTTGTAAAATTACTTCAGGAATTCATTTACTTTAGTACTTCATTGCTGCCAGACATCTAGTAAAGGAGGTTCACTATTTCTTCTAAGTATCCCTTTTTGTTGTTCAGAGATGGAAAAACAATAAATTTTCTGCTTTATTGTTGAGTTTTTCACTGTTAAGTGATCTTTCCAATTGCAAATTCTTCAGAACAGCGTGTTTTAGTGAGACAGGTTTAAACATAGTTTGGTTGTGTATGTGGCTGATAGTACTGGGTTGGAGGTAGAACCAGGTAGATTAGATATCTTAATTTTAATCCGGCAATTTTTCTAATTCTATTTGTTTATTTGGTTTTTCAAGACAGGGTTTCTCAGTGTTACAGCCCTAGCTGCCCTGGAACTAGCTCTATAGACCAGGCTGGCCTTGAACTCATGGAGATCCCATAGATCTGCCTCCCGAGTGCTGGGATTAATGGCATGTTCAACCACTGCCGGCCTAATTTTTATTTTATTGAAAATAGATTGTTTTTTCATATAATATATCCTGATTATAATTTTCCTTTCTTCTATTCCTCTCAGTACTTTCCCTCTTCCTTTCCCCTCTAGATATATTTTCTTTCTGTCTGTCATTAGAAAACAACAGGGCTTCTGAGAGAACACAGCCAAATATGACAAAATAAGATATATAATTTTATGAAAATGAAAATATGAATTAATCCCCCCAACTATTAAATGTATAGTATCAAGTTAGAAAAGTATGAAAATTAGAAGGTAAAATGAGAGATATAAAATGAAAATTATTTATTAAAAACTGCTTGCACGCTCTTATATAATAGCTTGGTATACTAGCACATGAAAGTAGTCCCCAGCACTAGCAGTAAATGAACCAATACACAGAAAACTGTCTGATAATTTTGGCACCCGTGGTTCTATCTTTCCTGCCAAGTAGTTTTATCTTGAGTTTGAATGCTGTGTGCTCACAAAATCTTTTTGGTATGAATGTGCTTGATATTCATTTATACTTACATGATTGGTTTTTACTTTCTTTTTAAAGAAAACTAAACTGAAGAAAATGGCATTTTACTCAAGAAGATTGGCCCTGGATGACCTAAGAAATGAAATGGATTGTGGATTTCACAAGAAAATCTCAGTTTGTGATGATTATATTTCTTTTCTCCGATAGTTTGTTTATATACATATGTATTCTTTGCACTACACAAATGGTAACATTTTAAGGACTAATATTGCTGATACTTGAACAATCAATCTCAACTAGGTTTTAAGTAGCATATGTAGACTTACTCTTTTTGAGCTTGACGGACATTAATTTATTATAGTTTAGTAACATGTTTACCTGATTTTTTCTCATAAGAAATATAAGCTGCTTTTCTAAGGCACTGTTATGATTATAAGATTTATAATATTTACTTTTCTAAATTAAACACAAGAAAGAATACAACACAAGTGGATTTAAATGAGGTCAAATCAATTTTGTATCAGCCACTGAACTGTCCACAGGTAGCCGCAAACTGATGGAAGAGTCCTCTGCATTCTTTGTGGTCTGCCCAGTTCAGAAAATCCTTGTCCTTTGTACTGTGGCCATTGTCTCAGAACTGAGTTGCTGAACAGACTTAACTTGATGAGGGGATGAAGAATAGGCCCAATGGATGTGGAAAAGTATATTCCAGGCTGACACAGAGAAGTCATCAGATTTTTAATTCAATCATACGCACTTAATCTTTTTTTTTTTTTTTTTGGTGAGGATATCCAATGTCTGCTTCATAGGGTGCTTTGCAATAAAATGAAAACTTATTTATACTGTTTTTACTAAGGAGCAAACGCATGAAAATCTTTTTTTTTTTTTTCAAGTGGTAAACTCCAGTCTGGATTCTTAACCTCTTAGTGCCTCAGGTTTTCCTTTGGGGTGCACATCACAAGGTATTAGAAGGACTAAATATACACGCCATCTTTGTCCACATAATTAAGGGATGCCTGACTAATGAAACCTAAGTTTCTTCTGTCCTTTAGATCAAAATGAAGGACGACCGAAAATAATCCTTTTTGTGTATTTCCCAAAACCTGTGCTTTGAAGATGTAATTTACAAACTTTATAGCAAATTCTCCCTTCCTTTTTTTCCTTTTGAGACAGTCTCAGTAGCTCTTGCTCAACACTGGTTCACACTGTAGCTAAAGATGACCTGGAACACCTGATGTTCCTGTCTCCACTTTTCTCCAGTTTCTGGGACCACAGGCATGCACCACCTGACTAGCTTTGTATAGTAAAAAAATTAATGCATTCTTGATATGGGATGTTGGGGGGATTAGCATTAGGTATTGGACATTTTCAGTAAGAGCAGAAGAATCCTTCTCTAGTGTATAGGGTTGTTCTTTGAAGAAAAAAGTATGAAAACATTATTTGCTTGTCCCAGATTTCAATTTTTTTTTTGTTCTTAAATTGTGTACCACATCTTGGTTGGAAGGAACTACTAGTATTTGCTTAAGATATGAAACAAACAGACCCAAATCTACCTTCTACTTATTTAGAAGGAAAAAAAGGAAATAACTGAGTTATCATAGGTAAAGTATGGATCAAGAGTTTATTTTTTTTAAATTAGACAAGTTGGTATCATAAAATGATGGCTTTTTTCTTATATAAATAAAATGCAAATAAAGGCTGTAACAAGTTGTGATTCATTGCAAGTAGTCAAGGTAACGAACTCCTAAGGGCAACCATTTGTATCATAGATCGGAATCACTTTATAGCTTGAAAAGCACTTTGCACACAGTCCTTGTATATAATTGATGTAATTATAGGATATAATGGTAATGCTTTAAAACATAAACCTTATTTTAAAAATTGACAGCTATGGTATTTTTTTAATGATCAGCTTTTCTGTTTATTGTAAAACTAAGTTAAAAATAAAAGGTTAATGAGAAATGAACTATTTTCTTATTACTGGTTAACTGTATTGATTGTGTGCAGAACTGAAGGGAGAGCAAATAGTAGTTGCTATGAAGTAATCCTGAGTAACAGGCAGGAGATAGCAGCTCTCCACAGCACAAGCATGTGAGGTCCCCATCAGTTCCCAGAACCATGCAGAGAAGAAATTCACGAGACTAAATAAAGCCATATTATGTGTAATTTGATAAAAATTTCAGAAGTGAATGCAGTTTAACTCACTTGTCATGTGAGGATACTAGTCATAGTTTAAAAAGAGGTCGGGTTTTACTCTGTAGCTGAGATTGGCCTCAGCCTGGAGGCAGTCCTCTTGCTGCTGCCGACAAAGGACACAGAAAAGTCATTTTAATTTTCATAGATATGAAGCTTGGGATGTAAAGGTGTAATGTTTGTTTTGATTCCTCTGGTGTTCTGGCTCACAGTAGCCGTGTCTCCAGTGAAGGAGAATTTATACCTACTTGAATGCAGGGGAGGGATGAGTTCCTAGTGTTTCTGTTTCAAATTGCCTTTAGCCCAAACAAAGTTTATGTGAGAGAGGCATATTGGGGGGGGGGGCATTTCTTCAGATTGATTTGTGTGGGGAACAACCAAGATCATTTAGCTCCGTTTCAGTTTCTCTTTAACAAGAGTCTGAATGTAGCTTATTGACAGTTGTAAATTTAGATGATAAATCATTTATTCTCAATAAATACCATTACAACTTACCAATAATTACTATTACATTATCTGGTGGCAGAATGACTGTAGCTGCCTGTGACATGTCTGTGATAGCAAATTGTAATTTTCTACTCAGAGCTGTGTTGGCTAATTTTATGTCAACTTGACACTAGCTAGTTATCTGAAAGGGGGGAACCTCAACTGAGAAAATACCTCCATAAGATCTGGCTGTAGGGCATTTTCTAAATTAGCAATGGATGGGAGATGGCCCAGCCCATTGTGGATGGTGCCATCCTTAGACTGGTGGTTCTGGGTTCTGTAAGAAAGCAGGCTGAAAAAGCCATGCTAAACAAGCCAGTAAGTAGCACCCCTCCATGGTCTCTATATTAGTTCCTGCCTCAGGTTCCTGCTCTGTTTGAGTTCCTGTCCTGACTTCCTTTGATGATCAACAGTGATATGGAAGTGTAAGCCAAATAAGCCCTTTCCTCTCTAACTTGCTTTTTGATTCATCACATCCATAGAAACCCTAAGATAAGGCCCCTGTCTTCTCTACTAGAATTAAGTCCAATTTTGTAATGCTTTAGGTTTTAGTGTTTTACAGAATGCATGTGTCCATGCCACAACAAACATATGGAGGTCAGTAAATAGTTTGCAATTATCTCCACCCACTGTGTGGTTCCTGGAGACTGACCGTGGTCAGGATTGGTGGCAAGTGCCTTGCAGTCCTCCCATTGTGTGGTTCCTGGAGACTGACTGTGGTCAGGATTGGTGGCAAGTGCCTTTACTTACTGAACCTTCTTGCTGGCCCTAGTTTTTGTTTTCCAGAATGTTTGATTTTTTTTTTCATTTTTTACTCTTTTGGTTTTTCAAGACAGGATTTTTTTTTGTAGCTTTTGAGTCTGTCCTGGAACTCACTCTGTAGACCAGGCTGGCCTTGAACTCACAGACCTGCTTCTGTCTCCTGAAGGCTGGAATTAAAGGTGTGTGCCACTACTATCCAGCCAGAGTGTTTTAAATATTCATTTATGTATATCTCATTTAGTCAGTTGAATTAGTTACTTTTCTATTGCTGTGATTAAGACAATATGACCAAGATAACTTATTAAAAAACACTTTATTTGGGGCTTATGGTTTCCGAGGGGCAGAGTTCATGATGGCGGAGCAGAGGCAGCAGGCAGCATCTGAACATTCATAGCTTAACCACAAGTAGGGGCAGAGAGCAGTGCTCACCCCAGTGATATACTAACCATCCTTCCCAAACAGTTCCACCAACCAGGGACCAAGTATTCAAACGTGCTCCTATGGGGGCCATTCTCACTGAATCCATCACACGACCAAAAGAAACAACACTGCTGGAACCTTAGGTTAAATAATTGTGAAAGAAGAAATAATTCTTTTATTATTTTTTATTCTTTACATTCTGTACAGACAGGCAAAATAAACATAAATGTGCAAAGTGTTTATGATTCACTGTCAATGAAAAACACCACCAACTACTATGAAAACAGGCCAATTTATGAGAACCAAAAAGTAGAAAAAACATTTTATAAAAAATGCATTTATGGAAAGAAATGTTTCTCTTCTGTGTACTTACATATAACATATTGTTTGCTTTAATAAATGTATCCCTATGTTTATTCATCCATCTGTTGACATACTTTTTTGTCTAGTCCAGTGCTTTATTCATGTAGTCCCAAGGAGGTCAGGACCTCTCAACAGTCCACAGCAGAATTAAATTTTACTGTAACCAACTGTCCAGTGATTTGCTTTAAGAAGCCATAAGCGGTTTGCTTCTGCAGACTCATTTTTAACTAACTGGGATCCAGAGTTCTTAGAGGCCAGACTTCCTTGGACCCCTAGTTTGTTAATCTGACTCTGCTTATTCTAAGTCTACAAAGTAATTAGTATGTGTGTTACTGGAATTTGAAGCCAAGGTCCTATGCATACTAGGTAAGTATTCTCTACCTTCAGCCTCCAAAGTAATTATATCAATCACCAATATATTAGTGCTCAATATTAACCTGTCCGTGGCAGCACAATTGTTTAACCAGGTTTAGATTCCAAAGGCTTTTTTTCTACTACTTGAAAACACTAGAAAAGGACTATAGATTGAGTAAATAGCCTGTAGAATATGCTGTCACCTGAAAAGTGTGACTCACTTTAAATGAAGTTGTAGTAACTATTTTGAATATCTTTATTTAAAAGGGCGATTGGAAAATTAAGTCGTCATTATAAAATGGGCAGAGTCAAACCTTTAGCCCAAGGATTCAATACCCAGCACCAATTATGCTGTGTCTTTTATTGTTACAGATCTAGGCTTGTCTCATCTTTGCAAACTACATTATAGCTGAGCTGTGACTAGGTGGTAAAGGAAAGTAGAAACACTAAAGTCAATGTGCAAAAGGTTATTAACAAAACCTACCTATGGTACATTTAAATCGTAATTTTATTCTTCTAGGGAAATGCTAAAAGTCTCAATTAGTTTAGCTGATTCTTAGTATTCTTCAAAAAGAGTGATGCTGACAATCATTAGTTACAGCTATTAAAAGTAGATTATTACTATTTTTCTCTGATAAAACTGAACAAGCTACTAAAATTGCTTAAAGTGTCACACCCAACCTTTACAGAACTCTTAAACAAACAGGAATTGTAGAAGAAAGCACCAAAAGCAGTCAGGTAGCAAAATTCTATCACTAGGAAGGTAAGCTAAACCCTTAAAATCTTAGTTCTTTTGAATAGGCTGTACTCTGCAAAGTTACACTACTAATAGTTTTCCAGCTTTTTTTTTTTTTTAAAGTTTTACAAGACAGGGTGTCACTATATAGTCCTGAATGGCCTCCAGCTCAGAGACAGACCAGGCTGGCCTTAGTTTTGAAATTGCAGTCATACTTCTGTCTTGCATCTGTCTCCTGAATATGGGGGCTTCTGGCTTGCATGTCTGGCTCAATGTCTGATTTTGACAGTTATGTATTGTCTTGTAAGACTGTCTTGAGACCACAGTTTTGCAGGCAACCATGTACAAATAAATTTAAATGAAATAGTCGTTTTTTATTTGATATTAATACCGAAGTGAACAGAACAATGAAATCTGCATAGAAGCTTATGGCTCATTCCCTCTGTATTGAGTAGTAGTGTTTTAGTTTATTGATACGTTAGTATTCATAAAGTGCAGCTAATAAATAAGACAATAAGATGAAAAAAAGCTGTGATGATTTATATCCAGTTTATAGTAAAGATAAATTACATATATTTCGCATAGTATTTTAATTTTGTAAAAGCTATTGTATTCATTAATTGAAAGTTCATTAGCCTAGGCACGATAGTGACTTCTCTCCTGTTAAGTCAATCTAGTATTGAACATAATATTGCAAAACTTAATTCTATATTACAAGATTAAATCAAAATGATATGTATGTTCTACAGACTAAACCCAGATATGGTCAGATGCTGAGCAGTATTCCTGGCTTCAAAATAGGATGTATCTGTTTCATCATCTGGCTGTGGTACGAAAGGCATTGTTTGATGTTGCAGATTTTCCCAGTCCACTTCACTGAAGAGAGGATGGTGTTTCAGTTCTTAAGGGGAAATATGTAAAAAAAAAAAAAAAACCAAAAAAAACCAATATTAGGACACCATCATTTAAAAGTTGCTTTCAGGAATTAAAAAGGCAATGTCTTTCTGTATCTTGCCCTACTCTATTATACCAAATATCACTGCTTTGTTTAATGTTTGTCTCCCTGTTAGACTACATATTTTACACTGTATCATTTTGCATATCACATATCACCTGGTATATTATAGGTGCCTGGTTTCTATTTGTCTAGCGAGTGAAAAAATGACCTTAGTAGAAGTGGATCTTTCTTTTTTTTTTTTTTCAGTTTGCCAAGCTGTGACTGTTATTAACTGACCATATTACAAAAATACCATGGTTCATCCGTCTAATAAGCCTGTTTATCTTGTCTTCCACAAAATGAGTTGTCTTTTTCTTCACTCCACTCGTGGAGAAGATAATTTGAAGGGCCACAGAAAGTTATTTGCTTCTTTGAAGCGTTTTTCCAACTGTATAGATCTCATGAATTAGATCCTCCATGCAGATGATGCTGTATTTACCAAGAGATCGAGCAATCAAGGAATTATCTGTCAAGGCAATTCTCTTCTTATTAATTTTGCTACATTTGTAGATGAGCTCATTTACTGACTTCAGATTGGGGTACCCCCTTGCAATATATGGTTCCACAATCCTCAGCATGTTAACTGAAGCCTTGTTGAGCTTAACAAAGGTGCCATTGAAGATCTGCAGAAGACGGAGAAGCTGCAACACTTTGCACACCTTTGGGCTTTACACCCCTGATACCTCGGATTCTGATGACAAGTGCCAGCTTCGGTTCTGCTGGCACATAGAAGTTCCCAGCTTGCCTTGCCATCCTGGCCATGCGAATCTCTGTCTACTCCTTGTGATAGTGCTTTGTCTTTTCATAGATAAGCTTTCTCTGGGCCCTTCGCAGTGACTTCAGAGCAGTCTTCTTCCAAAGGTGCTTCTCCTTCAACTCTGCAAAATCCCTTCACGTTTTTTGAAGGGTTTCTGGCACAACACGAACCTCCTTTTCCTTCTCTGGTACAGCCTCCATGGTTCCAGTGTGGGGGAGGGGGCAGAGGAAGGAAGTGGATCTTTCTTGATGCCATCATCTTCTCACGCTCCCTCATTTGCAGACGGTTTGGCTTGCTTCTTCACTACCGTTGGAGCTCATCTGACTAATGACCAGTTCTCATTTCACCTCTCACCCACCTGTCACATGGCAGTCTTTAAGCACCAGAATGTTCATCTTTTCCTCTTTGCTTTGAATACTTATCTTCCTTCATGCTGACTCCACATATACACTGGTGATGATTGGCTATATATTCAACTTACTGTCCCTTTGTTTTTGGTCTTCTTGTTTATGTGTCTGAGATAAGGTCTCAGTAGCCCAGGCTATCCTAGAACTCACTGTGTAGCCCAAGCTGAAAGTTTTTACAGTCCTCTTCCTTAGTCTTCTAAGTGCTGGGTTTCCTAGCATGGACCACCATGGCTTGGTTCTGACTAGATGACATTTCTCACACATTCTCTCCATATTCTTCGATTTACTTGGTCCCACTATTACATCTTTAGAGTTTACTAGCTAGCATTACAAGTACATCTAGAACTTTCCATCACAGCACTCCTACTTATAAGATTTCCAACTCTTCAACTTATTGTTTTGTTTTGTTATGTAGTCTTGGCTATCCTGGAACAGGTCTCTATATAGACCAGGTTGGCCTCAAACTATGCCTGCCTCTGCCTCCGAGTACTGAGATTACAGGTGTGCACCAAAATACCTGGCTCCGTTGGTTTTAATTACTTCTACCTACTAAAATAAAAACATGTTCACTTGTTTGACTAAACCGTGATATTTTGTTGCTAGAAATAAGCTCCCTTTTCCCTAACCTTCATGGTTCCTTTGCAGTGATTCAACTGTGGCCTTGCACTCGCTGTGCAAGTGTCTACTGTGGGCTACACCTCCAACCACAACCAACTCCTCACTTTTCTTTTTCAAACTATGGAGCTAAGCCGGCTTTAAACTCACAGCAATCCTGTTGCAGGCTCCTTCCTAAGTGCTGAGATTATAGAGAGGAGCCACCATGTCCAGTTTTCAACCCTTTCCCTTTTGTAAATTTATTTTTAAAAGATTTATTTATTATATATAAAGTGTACCATCTGCATGTATACCTGCAGGCTAGAAGAGGGCACCAGATCTCATTACAGATGATTGTGAACCACCCTGTGCTTGGTTGCTGGGAGCTGAACTCAGGACCTCTCTTAACCTCTGAACCATCTCTCCAGCCCCAACCCTTTACCTTTTAAAGCAACAGTACAAATGTTAATAAATTAAGAAGTGACAAGGCAGTAAGTAAATAAAACCAAAAATCTATATACTTTTAAGGAGAATCTTGGAGGATGTCTGTCTACACAGAGTGTTTATATTGGGAATCTTGATTTAGGAGACTTATATACCTATAAATGGTTTTTCCTCTAAACTAAAAGACTGGTAGGAGCCGGCATAAGTCTGAACAAAAGGACTGCTTTAAGTTCAGGGGCAACATGGATGATAGGAGTTTCTTGGTCTCATACACCTGTAATCCTGGCACTTTTAGGAGATGAGAAAGAACAGGAGACTATGTAAGGGACTTCAGGTCAGTCTAGGCTATAATGAGACTGTCTGCAAAAAATATGAGGGATGTAGGGAGGGAAAGAAAAAAGAATAGAAAAAGGGATACAGTTGCAAAAATAATTTTCACTTGTTTAAAATAAGTACCTAAGAACAGATACATTTAAAAGTTATTTTGTATGATGGTTCTCAACCAGGGTGGCTTTTTCCTGTACAGAATATTGGCATTGTCTGAGATACTGTTTTAGTGTTGTAACTGTGGAAGCATCTGTTGAGTAGAGACCAGCTATTCTGTTAAATATTCTGCAGTATGTAAGACAACCCCATAACACTTGACTTGAAAGTTGAAAAATTATTTCAGAAAATAGTTATATACTATATGCCCCCCAAAAAGTAAGGTTATAAGAAAATCTTCTAACCAGTAGCAACAGTGGAGCCTGATTTTGGAAACTTTCATTTTTTTCTAATAATTTATTGTTTCCAATTGAGCTATACATTTTTCCCATTCCCCTTCCTTCCTACCCTCTCCCTTTCCACCTTTTCCCAACCCCTTATCCCCCTCCCCCCACCTCCCATGCTCCTAATTTACTCAGGAGATCTTGCCTTTTTCTCCTTCCTAGGCAGATCCATGTATTTCTCTCTTAGGGTCTTTGTTGTCTAGGTTCTTTTGGGGTCATGGACGATAGGCTGGTTATTCTTTGCTAAAAGTCATTTATGAGTGAGTACATATTATATTTGTCTTCTGGGTCTGGGTTAGCTCACTCAGTATGTTTTTTTTCTAGTTCCATCCATTTGCCTGCAAACTTCAAAATGTCATTATTTTTTACCACTGAGTAGTACATTTTCTTTATCCATTCAGTTGAAGGGCATCTAGGTTGTTTCCAGGTTCTGGCAATTACAAATAATGCTGCTGTGAACATAGGTGAGCAAATGTTTTTGTGGTGTGATTGAGCATCCTTTGGATAGATGCCTAAGAGTAGTATTGCTGGATCTTGAGGTAGATTGACTCCTAATTTTCCGAGAAATCGTCATACTGATCCAAAGCGGCTATACTCCCACCAGCAATCGAGGAGTGTTTCCATTACCCCACATTCTCTCCAGCATACATTGTCATCAGTGTTTTTGATCTTGGCCATTCTGACAGGTGTAAGATATAAGAACTTCAGAGTTGTTTTGATTTGCATTTCTCTGATGGCTAAGGATGTTGAACATTTCCATAAGTGTCTTTCAGTCATTTGAGATTCACCTTTTGAGAGTTCTCTATTTAAGTCTGTACCCCATTTTTATTAGATTATTTTTTCTTTTGATGTCAAGTTTCTTGAGTTCTTTGTATAATTTGGAAATCAGCCCTCTGTCGATGTGGGGTTGGTGAAGATCTTTTTCCATTCTGTAGGCTGCCATTTTGTCTTGTTGACCATGTCCTCTGTTTTACAAAAGCTTCTCAGTTTCACGAGGTCCCATTTATTAATTTTTGCTCTCAGTGTCTGTGATACTGGAGTTATATTTAGGAAGTGGTCTCCTGTGCCAATGTACTTTCCACTTTCTCTTCTATGGGGTTCAGTTTGGTTGGCTTTATGTTGAGGTCTTTGATCCATTTGGACTTGAGTTTTGTGCATGGCGACAGATATGGATCTATTTTCAATCCTCTACATGTTGATATCCAGTTATGCCGGCACCATTTGTTGAATATGCTTTCTTTTTTTCCATTTTATAATTTTAGCTTCTTTTTCAAAAATCAAGTGTTGATAGGTGTGTGGGTTGATATCTGGGTCTTCAATTTGATTTCATTGATCATCCTGTCAAAAATACCAGGCTGTTTTCAGTACTGTAGCTCTGTAGTAGAGTTTGAAGTCAGGAATTGTGATGCCTCTAGAAGTTCCTTTATTGTTCAGGATTGTTTTAGCTATTCTGGGTTTTTTGTTTTTCCATAAGAAGTTGAGTACTGTTTTTTCAAGGTCTGTGAAGAATTTTGCTGGGCATTGCAATGAATCTGTAGATTGCTTTAGGTATGATTGCCATTTTTACTATGTTAATCCTATTTATGAGCATGGGATATGTTTCCATTTTCTGATGTCTTCTTGGATTTCTTTCTTCAAAGATTTAAAATTCTTGTCATACAAATCTTTCACTTGTTTGGTTAGAACTACCCCAAGGTATTTTATGTTATTTGTGGCTAATGTAAAATGTAATGTTTCTCTGATTTCTTTTTCAACCCTTTTATCTTCCGTGTTTTTTTTTTTTAAGTTAATCTTGTATCCTGCTATATTACTGAAGGTATTTTTCAGTTGTAGGAGTTTCCTGGTGAAATTTTTTGGGGTCACTTAAGTATACTATCATATCATCAGCAAATAGTGAAAGAGTGAAAGTTTGACTTCTTCCTTTCCAATTTGTAGAGTGCTTTGAGTTTCTCTCCATTTAGTTAGATGTTAGCTGTAGGCTTGCTGTATACTGCCTTTATTATGTTTAGGTATGTTCCTTGTATCCCTGCTTCTCCAAGACCTTTATCATGAAGGGGTGTTGTATTTTGTCAAAGGTTTTTTTTCCTGCATCTAATGAGATGATCATGTGTTTTTTTTTTTATTTCAGTTGGTTTATATGGTGTATTACATTGATAGATTTTTGTATGTTGAACTATTCTTAAATCTCTGGAATGAAGCCTACTTGGTCATGGTGGATGATTTTTCTGATATGTTCTTGTATTTGAAACTTTCATTTTTTAAAAGTATTGTTATTACCAGTGTAGCCAGAAAAAAAGAATCTTAAGTTTCATACATTTTCTAATTTTGTCTATTTTCTTCCCTACTAAGTTAGAATTTTTAGCCTCAAATATGCGTTAAGCAGATATGCTTATTTTTCAACATGGTGCTGTATGCCTTTATTTCCAGCACTTGGAAGAAATAGATTTCTTGAGTTCAACGCTGGCCTGGTCCACATATTGAGTTCCAGGTCAATCACAGATAACATAGTAAGACCTAATCTCTAAAATTAATTTTTTTTACATGTTTAAGTATTTTCCTGCATGTATGTATTTGCACCACATGCATGCCTGGTACCCAATGAGGTAAGAAGAGGGCATCATATTCCTCAGAACTGGAGTTGCAGAAGGTTGTAAAGTCATCATGTGGGGTAGGGAACCTTACTGGCTTCTTCTGCAAGAGCAGCAATTGCTCTTAATGGCTGATGCATCTCTCCATCCCCATGATAGAATACTGGGCATGATAGTAACTGAACTCAGGTCCCCTAGCAACAAAAACAGTGGCTCGTAATCACTGAACCACTCTCCAGTCCCTCTAGAGCCTTTTAATAAGATCCCTGGGATGCTTTGCCTCTGCTCGTGCCTTTGTCTGCTGAGCTATCTCAGCAACCTCTTTACTTAAAGTCTGTATTTATAAGGCAATGCCTAGTATGTCATAGGTATTCAATAAAAGTTAAAGGAATAATGACCCTAGCTCCCCTCAAATGATAGTGTTTTATTATTTATTATTTGCGTTTGGCATGTATGTATAATGTGTAAGTGCAAGTTTGTATGTGAGTAGAAGCCTGTGCAGCTATGGTACATGGGTGTTGGTCAGTAGACAACCTTTGCTGTCAGATCCCAATCTTCTACTTTTTTTTTTTTAATAAACATATAGGTTCTTTTATTTGCTTCTTTGTGTCTCAGACTAGCTAGCTCATTGAGCATTTGAGAGTTCTTAGTCTTTGCCTCCCATCTTACTGTAGACACATTGGAATCACACATGTGTGCTACTGCATCCCAATTTTATGTGGGTTCTGGGGATCCAAACACTGGTCCTCATACTTCCATAGAAAATTCTTTATCTACTGAGCCATCTCCCCTGCTTATTTTAAATACTTTATTATTATTAGTTAGTTAGTTAGTTAGTTTTTGAGACAGGGTCCCGTTATATAGCCTGGCTGGTGTAGAAGTCACAGAGATCTTCCTTCCCCTGTCTCCCAAGTGCTGATACTGAACGTGTGTTATACCATATCTAGCTAAGATAGCATTTTATAATAGCAACCTAACCAATATGTAACGTCAGATACTTAGATGTATTAAAAATAACATTTGAAGGAATGCAAATGTCCAAATAACAATGTATAGTCTTTGGAGCTCAAATATGGGATTTCTAGTGTTAAATGTGGCTTAATTATTGCAATTTTGAAAAAGCTCACGGGGAGTGGTCAGGTATGTACAAGTTTACTTTACACAGGATTCTGTTCAATCTATCCCTTAAAGAGGTGTTCCCAAGTACTCTAAGCAAACTTGTCTCTAGGACCCACTTTGTATCTGCCCACTCTGCTTTATTTTTCTTTATAGTACTTATGCCTACTTGGTATTAACAACTATTTGTTTAAGGAAATATTTTAAAGTAAGTCCCACAATGAAAGAGATTTGAGTAGCTCATCCCTTGGGTGGCCCCAGGACCAGAGCAACCTTCACATTCAATAGGTTTAGTTAAACCAATAACTATTGATCTTTATTTATTCATTTGTGAGTGTGTTCACCTGTCTGTTTTATGTTTGTTCACAAGTAATCATGAAAGCCAGAGAAGGGTGTTGTTTGCCCTGGAATAGGAAGGTGCATGTTGTGAGCCAGTTGATGGTGTTGGGTACCAAACTTAGATCCTAGAAGAACAGCAAGTACTTGTAACTGCTGAGTCATCTCGCTAGATCCTAAACTTATGAAAAGGAACATGTAAAAGCTGATTCAAGTAATTCTCTCTCTCTCTCTCTCTCTCTCTCTCTCTCTCTCTCTCTCTCTCACACACACACACACACACACACACAAATTGTGTGTGAACATGGGCACAGGTGCCATGGCATGTGAGTAAAGCTCAGAGGACAACTTTGATGAGTTGCTTCTCTCCTCTACTGTGAATTCTGGGAATTGAACTCAGGGTGTGTAGCAAGTGCTTTGGCCTGATGATCATTTCTCCATCTGACATGACTTATTTTCAAAGTTCATTCTTTTGCATATCCTCTGCTTCATATAGAAATGCATTTGTGGGCACAATGCTTATTTGTCTATATTACAATAAGATCATTGAAGTTTTTGGGCACAATGCTTATTTGTCTATATTACAATAAGATCATTGAAGTTTTTAGGTGCTGCAGAGTGACCCTGGGGCCTGACACAAAGTAAGCATGACCTTCATATCTTAGCCATATCCTTAACATTAAGAAAAATTATTTTAAGGCTGCTGTCAATGAGATTTACTTCAGTTTCAAAGGTAGGATCAAGTATATATTCCCAAGCATTAAAAAAGCCCCCGAATGGTTCATAACATACTGAATAAGTCTTATTTGAGGCAACCTGGGATGGAATGATTTGTAATGGAATCAGAAGTTAAACAATAAAAAACTACACAACAGGATATTCATAGACGTGCTAAACTTATAGATAGTTGACTATCAGGTATAGAAAGATGCGCTACAGTATGGTTTCCGGTGCCTCATGGAAGGTTACAGATTGAGTGTGTGAGCTGTGACTACACTGCATTGAGTTTAAATTAAAGATAAATGTACAAATGCATTGTCTCAAGGAACTGTCTTTTTACCATTGAGCAGTCAGATTATTGTACTAGAACCTGATGTTATAATTACTACCTGGAACCAAGCAAGCGTAAAATAGTTCATTGACAAAAAAACCTTACCTTTCATTCCAGCTCTCTCTGTATCATCAATGGTTAACAGCATATCCACTGCACTTTGAGCTTCATCAGATAGCTTTTCTTCACCTTCTGGCCAAGGGATATCTACAGATACACATATATAAGTAAAATTGTTTGACTTTCCCTTGGGGATCCACACTTGGGTATGTCTTACTTTCTGCAAACCTTGGAGAAGCTGACACCCATAATCTGGGTGTATCTTACTTTGTTTTGAATGTCTCTTATTTTCATACCCCTCTGTCTCCTTAATTTTATATTAAAATACCTGTATTAGGGGGCTAGAGAGATGGCTTAGAGGTTAAGAGAACTGGCTGCTCTTCTAGAGGTCCCAAGTTCAATTCCCAGCAACCACATGGTAGCTCACAATATCAGAACATGTAATAAATACCAGAATAATAAATACCAGAATAATGTAATAAATACCAGAATGTAATAAATACCAGAACATAATAATAAAATAAATCTTCAAAAATACTTTTATTAAACAGGTTTGTTAATCATTCCCAAATAATAAAGATAAATGGATTATTTTGTTCTATAGATGGGGTCTTGTTTATGCTAGACAAGTGTTTTACAACTGAGCTACATCCTCCAACTCTGACTCTATCTTAATAGAGAAAAAAATGAGAATCACCTCTTTTTAAAATATTTTGGAATACTTGTTGTGGAGTTTCATCATTAAAAGGGGGAATTCCAGTTAGAAATTCAAACAAGCAGACTCCAAGTGCCCACCAGTCTACTGCAGGACCTGGAATTTAAGAGGAGATAAGTTGATTTTGCAATTATTTTATATAATATTTTACAACTGAAACTTGACCAATCAAGATCTTCTTGCTTTAGGACTTTCTTCTGTTTCTATACAGTAAAAAAAAAACCCAAATTATCTTCAGTTAGGCAATGGGTTAACCATCACCTTAGTTTTTAAAAGGCTTAAATTAGAAGTTGCTACAGATAATTAAAGAAATTTCAAGGCCACTTTTTGAATGAAGGAGTATATTTAAAAAATATTTTCTGAAATAGACTTTTTTTTTCTAAGACAGGGTTTCTCTGTATAGTGAAATAGATCCCTTAATTTCAAGTTAAGAAATGACAACATAGCTGGGACAAACACTCAGGAGGCAGAGACAAGCAGATCTCTGAGTTTGAGGCCAGCCTCGTCTGCAGAGAGAGTTCCAGGATGGCCAGAGCTACACAGAGAAACCCTGTCTTGAAAACAAAAACAAGGCCGGGCGGTGGTGGCGCACGCCTTTAATCCCAGCACTCAGGAGGCAGAGGCAGGCGGATCTCTGTGAGTTCGAGACCAGCCTGGTCTACAGAGCTAGTTCCAGGACAGGCTCCAAAGCCACAGAGAAACCCTGTCTCAAAAAGACAAAACAAAAAAAAACCAAAACAAACAAAAAAAAACCCACAAAAAAACCAAAAAACAACAAAAAAAGAATGACAATTTGAAATGATTATTGTATTTTACTTGTTTCACCCAAATTTTGACTAGAGGAACCTCTAATAATTATTGAATGTCCTAAATAGTGTTTTACTATGTGTTTTGTTGATACAAAAATAAAGCTCTAATCTCACAGGGAGTGAGAGCTATCTGTGGTCAAATTTGAAGTACCATAACTCAGGAACATGAATTCAGTTTGCTTTGAAGAACATGGTCCAGGCTGAAGAGAAGGATTAGTGATTAAGAGCACTGACTGCTCTTCCAGAGGTCCTATTCCATTCCCAGCACCCGCATGACAGCGCACAATAATCTGTAACTCCAGCTCCAGGGATCCAATATCTTCCTCTAGCCTCACATGGTGCACAGACATATATGCAGGCAAAACACCCATACACATAAAATAAAACTAAGTAAAAATGTCAAAAAAGAAAAAGACATGCTCCACGGTAGAAGTGGTTCCGTGCGACTGTATTAACTACAGAACAAAAAGTTGGGGCTGGAGAGATGGCTTAGTGGTTAAGAGCACTGGATGCTGTTCCAGAGGACCTGCGTTCATTTCCCAGCACCCACATGGCAACACACAGCTGTCTAGAAAGGATCAGACATCTCCTCTCTCACACATACATTCAGGCAAAACATAAATGCACCTAAATAAATAAATAAACATTAAAAACAGAACAAAGTCATAAATCAAGCTTGTCCAAATACACTGATGGTGCCCACAGGTAGGCCATAAAAAAGCAGGAAAAACTCCTTTATAGTTTTCAGATGCTATCTGGTGATATTCTCAAGCTTTTGGACTGGTGAAAGCTATGGTTTGCTGAGAATGCACTTTTGATTTTGTCATAGGAACACATTTTAGAGGTTTTTATAGTCCAGGATATTAGGTCAGCAACAGGTGGGCAGGGAATGGCTTTCTGAAGCACTAATAATGCCCAAGACAGCTCCACTCTGACCTGTACTATCTTACGGCTCCATAACTACTATGTTCAATCAGTTGGTCTTGCAGAATCTTTAACACAGACGTGGACTTTTCTTTCTGGGAAGTTTATTCACCAGTCCCCATAGTGGCCAAATAGTCACATTTTGTGGAGGCAAAGGCCAAATGTTTTTGTCCCACAAGGCTAGGAAGTCTAAAGAATGCTGTCTGAAATAGACCGGACTAAATAGACAGAAGTGCAGTATTGGAGGGAGGAACACTCACTAAAATCATCAAGAAGTAAATCCACCTATTACAATCTGAGTCTGATGTTTTTTTCTTTGTATCTGACATTATAGTATTAATATCCTTACAGTTAAAATCATTAAGAAAATAGGCAAGGTGGTGCATGCCTTTAATTCCAGCACTCAGGAGGAAGAGTCAGGTGGGTTTCTTGAGTTTGAGCTAGCCTAGTCTATACTGCAAGTTCCAGGAGAGCCTGTCTCAATTTCTTTCCAACCCCCTCCCCCCAATTAAGATGGTGGCTAAGGTATGGAGCTTAATTTTTTGGAGTGCTTGCCTTGCATGCTGGGTTCAAGTCCTAGCACTCTAGAACTGGAGGCAGAAGGATTAGAAAGTTCAAGCTACATGATAAGTTCAAGGTCAGCCTGAGCTACTTGAGATCCGGTCTTGAAATAATAAAGAAGTAAAGGTAGCAGCTGAGAGGAACAATCAACTTAACAGACCAGGTTGAATGTATGTTTCCCTATGTGTCTACAGCCCTTTGAACTATATGCAATGTTTTGTTTGGAGTATTTTAATTTTCCCTTTTCTAGTTTGACTGCATTGTTATGACCTCATGAGGAGTGGCTAGTTCAGACTTTAGGAATGATCAGCTTTAAATATCTAGGTAATTATAACTCCTGTGATTATTAACTATATTTGTACCTTATTTTTGTTATTTTTTTTGTAATCAAGACTGACTCTTCTTTTTTAAATATTTATTTACTTATTTATTATGTATACAATATTCTGTCTGTGTGTATGCCTGCAGGCCAGAAGAGGGCACCAGACCTCATTACAGATGGTTGTGAGCCACCATGTGGTTGCTGGGAATTGAACTCAGGACCTTTGGAAGAGCAGGCAATGCTCTTAACCGCTGAGCCATCTCTCCAGCCCCTTTATTTTTGTTATTATATCAGATTTTAATTTAGGGATATAAATGAAAAGGCACAGAAGAAATCAGATAACAATATCATTTTAAATTTTCTTCTAGAAAAATTATCTTTTCCCAGTGTGCCAACTATTATTAGTGACAGGGACAGAAATAAGAGGCTAGGTCTCTTGGAACTGGAGTTATAGAGTTGTGAGCTGCCATGTGTGTGCTGAGAATTGAATCTTAGTCCTCTTAAAGAACACTACTGGTGATCAATTTCCCCAGCCTATTTAAGGAAGTTTTAATAAGCTTTAAAAGGTTAACTATGGTAAAATTAAAGTATATGCATATAGTAAGTATGTTTTTTTTTGGGGGGGGGAGGGTTTCGAGACAGGGTTTCTCTGTGGCTTTGGAGCCTGTCCTGGAACTAGCTCTTGTATACCAGGCTGGTCTCGAACTCACAGAGATCCACCTGCCTTGCCTCCCGAGTGCTGGGATTAAAGGTGTGCGCCACCATTGCCTGGCAGTATGTTTTTATTGTTTGTAAACCTGTTCATGTTCACTTACCCTTCTAGCTTTGTCTTTATTCCTTTTCTATTTTGTAAAAAACCTTTTAGTATAAAATACATTTTATTGTAGAAAAATCTGCCCTTAATATGAGATAAAGTCTCAGGCAGACTTCACTGCTGTTTGGATTCTTAGAAAGGCTCTTAACATGTTTTTCTTGGTCTTTGAGTCATTTTGGTCATTTCCAAAAGAGCTGGCCAAAATAGTAACTGACATTAAGACAAATGTCTTAATTTTGTTTTAGCAAAATACACAGGAAGGGAAAATACTGTCAGACATCTTTCTCTGTTATCCCTGAAGTTGTGATTTCAGACGGAAAAGGGAGGAGCTAACAAATGGTTACTTTTTCCTGGCGGAAACAATGAATAGACTACTGCAAGCAGAGAAAGTGGGAGAGCATCAGAAGTCACAACAGGTAGATTGGGTAGTCGGGAAGCGATGAGAGCACAAGAGCAATTCAGTAAAATGGGGCAGGCAGCACACAGATTGAACTACACAGCTCTACAAGGGGCAAGGAAAGCAGAAGCCTTATCCAAAAGGTGAGCCAGAAAATGCTGAAGAGAATGGTAGTCCTATCCAGAGGAGCAGTCCACAGATCCTTCAGTGCAGTTATGGTTTATGAGACATGGACGCTAGTGCAAGTAATGAGATAGCAGAGAAGCCCATTTTGTATTGTGTAGGACTGAGTTGCACAGGGGCCATATACCAGGAAACAATTGTAAGTCAGGGATCCTAGAATCAACCGGCCCTAGCCACAGGACTAAGGGACAGCTGTGGGAGGTAAAGTGGACGGGGTGGGCTGGATGACACATAAGTCAGGGATCCTGGAGTCAACCTGGGCTACACAAGAGAAACAGAGCTGAAACAAAGGTAATCCCAGCATTTGGGATCACACGCCTTTAATCCCAGCACTAGGGAGGTGGAGAGAGAAATATAAGGCGGAAGGAGACAGGAGTTCAGAGCAGTCTGAGGTTTGGTGGAGACAGTTACAGTCTGAGGATGAAGTCTAGGAAGACAGTCTGAAGACAGGATTGCCCCTTTGGCTTAAGCATTGGTAGAGGTAAAAGAACGCTCTAGTGGCTGTCCTTTCTACTTCTCTGATCTTCAGACTCTGGGTTTTTTTGTTTGTTTGTTTGTTTGTTTGTTTTTCAAGACAGGGTTTCTTTGTGGCTTTTGAGCCTGTCCTGGAACTAGCTAGTGTAGACCAGGAATTCAGAGATCCGCCTTCCTCTGCCTCCCGAGTGCTGGGATTAAAGGCGTGTGCCACCACTGCCTGGCCTGACTCTGGGGTTTTATTATTAAGACCAACTAGAATTTGTGCTACATATGGTGCCCAACTTTTGGGGTATGAATTCATGAAAAAGCTGTTTGCCTGTGACTTTGAGACCACTGGCATAGGCTGGAGCTACATGTAGTCAGAGTCCTGCCCTACCCGCTAGGTTTCCTTTCTTCTCTCCTGGTAGGCTTTGGACCCCCTTCTTAGGCTGTTGCCAAGCTAGGTAGCTGCCTTAAAATCCAGCCAGGCTTCTGCTGTTCTATGCAACAGCCATCAGCCTCATATCTTCAACAGCAGTAGCAGAGGAGTTGAGAAAATTGGGAATTCTTAAAGGGAGGAGTTAGTTAAAAGCGAGATTTTTTTTTCCCCATGCTAAAAAATGGGAAAAA